CCTTGTCAGTGGTGCGGAACGGAGGGCCTGACAAGGACAGCTGTCTAGTCCTTCGGATGAGACGAAAAACCGAGGTCCCGTGTTTACATTAGAATGCACGTAAAAGATCCCTTGGCAGTTGGAATTCGATATAAGAGTAGGCGATAGTGCCGCTGCCCGGGCAAAATTTCCCTCATAGCACACTGGAAGGCGTATGCCCGTCTTCATTAGCCCAGTATAGGAGCAGAACAGTAGGACGTTAAACCCCATTTCATTTCATTTCATTTCATTTGTCCCTCTGACTAAAGTTATAAATTAGCCATCAAAATGGACTAACATGGATCGGTGGTTAGCGTGATTAGTTTCTATATACGATAACATATTCTATATATATACACCATCTACATTACACTAATACATTCTACTACTTGTTTTAATTAGGATAATTACACACGGTCAAACTAATTACAGTCAAAGTATGTATTAACACAAATCTTATGTCACCGAACACAAGGAAGAAATGACTAGGCTAATGGCGAAGACGGGCATCCGCCACAGTATTGACTCAAATCTTATGTCACCAAACACAAGGAAAAAATGACTAGACTAATGCTAAGTGGGTAAAACGCTGGCTCGCTAGCCCGCGGCCTACTCTTATATCGAATTTCACCTGTCAAGAGATCTTTTATGTGCACGCCAATGTGTACACGGGACCTCGGGTTTTCGTCCCATCCGAACGACTAGACAGCTGTCCTTGTCAGGCCCTCCTTCCTGCATCACTGTCAAGGGGGAACCACGCCGGCAAATCTGGATGAACTTTCTCGGCCAATGCAGGGATCGAACTTCTTTTCACACACACGCGCCTTCAATACAGTCCTCACTGTCGTCTCACGAGGAAACTGAAAGCACTTGGAATAGCAGGTGATGTCCTACGATGGATTACAAGTTTTCTGTCGGGCCGGAAACACTATGTCAGAGTCAACGCAAACACCTCAGCATATTCTGATGTGACTAGTAGTATCCCCCAAGGGCATGTGCTAGGTCCGATCCTTTTTGTCTGCTACATTAGTGGACTGAGTGAATGGTCCAACAAATGCGTAGTCAAATGAAGAAAAGGAAACATTGCCGATCAGTTAGATTTATTAAAAGTCACTTTGGCTATCGCCACTGATCGGCAATGTTTCTTTTTCTTTTCTTTTTTTCATTTGACTACGCATTTTAGTCGGAAATGATTACATTACAGAGTATGCAACAATTCAGTCGAATCTGCCCACCTAAATTATCTTAGAATCTAATTTTGGTCGAAAAACTGCGAATAACAATTATTATTTCATCAATGCAGAAATTTTAACACACACGCCTATACGCGGATATTTAATGAATTTAAGTGAATAGAAGACTTGTCTTTAAATGGCATTTAAAATATACACCTTCTCGTATTATCAGCACTTTTCCTGATAGTTCTAATTTTTACATCGGAATAAAAAATACTCGGGAAATAATAACTTTGGTCGAAAAACTGCGAATTACAATTATTATTTTATAAGCGTAGAAATTTTAACACATACGCCTATACGCAAATTTTTAATGAATTACGTGAATAGAAGACATGTCTTTAAATGACATTTAAAATGTACGCCTTCTCGTATTATCAGCACGTCATTTCTTCGTTTCGTTGTGAATTTCCCGGTAGTTCTAATTTATACAGCGGAATAAAAAATACGCGAAAAATAATGTTATCGGTTTAATTCGGTAACTATACTCTTCAAAAAAAGTAGGGGATATTCAGAAACAATACAAAACTGTGGAAATGCACTGCTGTTTTTATTAGAGGTAACAAGTGTATGTTAATAACAGACCAATTGCCTACATATAAACATAAACAGTTCATATGGGCGGTTTATCTGACGGCCCCATTTCAGTCGCAAAGAGATACACTGTCAAAAGTGAAAATGGACGTTTTTGATTTTTGTCTTAATAATGAGTAATTGCTCCAACAATCCTCAGACATTCAACAATTCGTCGTGGCATGCTCCTAATCAACCGTCCAGTCACGATTTGGGGCAATCTGACCCACTCCTCTTGCAGTGCCACGGCCAATTCTTGCAGTGTTGTCGATTGAAGTTGACGAAGACGAACACGTCTCCCGATCATGTCCTAGACATGCTCTATAGAAGAAAGGTCAGGACTCATGGCTGACCAAGGCATATGGACTGTAACTGTATGGGGTGTAACTCTAATTCCTATAACTTGGTACAAGTTTACAGAAAGCTGATTGGCTGTTTGCCCTTGATTTCGCAGGACCTGTGTACGAATGTATCGATCCTGGGCTTGTGCAGTAGCTCTAGGACGACCTGAACGAGGTCTATCATCAACATTGTGTGTTTGTTGGTACCGGTTCCACAGTCTGCTGATCACATACTGTGACACATTAAGCATGTTGGCTACTGCTCGCTGTGTAGAACGCATTTGAACCACGTAGACGTTCATCGTGTTGAAGACGTCTTATTGCAAATTAAACGTAACACACTAAAGCAAAGATACGCTAAACAGTAAATCTTATGCGAGAATCGATAGGAAAGCAAACATGGATAAGATAAACCAGCACGCGGCAGTTTTCATCAACCCTTCCTTGAAGTATCAAATTTGACAATGAACCCCTCCCACGTGTATGGCGCTATTGCGTGTCAAACGTGCAGCTCAGTGGTTCTGTTGGGGCGATAAGTTCTTCATCTGTGAACATACTCTCAAAGCATGTCAAGTGTCCATGATTATTTATCATATCACAACCTGCATAGGTATTTGCATTTCAATATCCCCTACTTTTTTTTTAAGAGTATATATTGACTTGGTGCATGTATTTCAATAAAACTGTGATTAGTCGTGTATCGATTCGACAAGTATTTGCTTTATCTGTATCACTATCATCAGTGAATAGTATTCATTACACGACTTTAAAGGGACAATAACACTCTTGCTGGCTTGACAGCTCCAGAAAATAAAAAATAGCCTTATTCTAAGTACTAGATGTGTTAGTGTCTTACATGTTGTGTAAATTATCCATTAAATCCTATTTTACTTGTCGAGAGGGTTCAAAAATATTTTTAAATCCATGTCACATTTGAAAAGGTTTACGCTAGGCTTTTCAAATCATTTAGTTGAATTTTTCCAATTTTTTTAAATTAGGTGTGTTATGATGAAATTTGTATCATCAATTAATCGGAATATTGTAAAATAGTACTTATTTGTTGACCAGAATAAAGATTGGGACATATTATTCAGTTACAACAAGAGTGGTATTGAGCCTTTAAAATATATAACATAAATCATGATCTATTTTTTTATCTTCTTGGTTTTATTTTTTATTAAGTCGAGCATATATTAGTAATTTATATTGGCTGATTCATAAAAAAAAGATTTTACTCTATTGCAAAGGGATGGGAGTGGATGGCCGAATGGTTAGCACGTGCGCGCTGTATCATAAGGTCTGTCATTGAGTCAACTGGAGTGGTTTCGATTCCCCGGTTATACGTTACAAGGATGTGGGTCGCCTGTCAAACCATGCTATTTGTATGTTTCTGGTTACTTTTTGAAGAGTAGAACTTTTCGATGTTATTAGAAACATTTTTAGTTTAAAACAAAAACAAAAACAAAACAGATGAGCACCAATGTCTCAATTGAGGTTTCTCATAAAGCTCGGGAGGGGGGGAGGCCGAATGGTTAGAGCGTGCGTGCTGTATCATAAGGCCTGTCATTGAATCAACTGGCGTGGTTTCGAATCCCCGGTTGTACGTGACAAGGAGTAGGGTCGCCTGTCCAACCTCGTGGGTTTTCTCCCACTGCTAAAGACCCCTGCAAGCGAATTATTGAAATAAAATTGAACCCGAAATGACCTAGTTTGTGTCGAGTGGACGTTAATCCCCATCTCTCTCTCTCTCTCTCTCTCTCTCTCTCTCTCTCATTTTTGACTGTCTTAAATAAGAACTGACTAGGATTTGTACCGTGATTGAAATTTGTAACTTACGTTCTAATACCAAAAAAATGTGGAATATTACTAGTTGAATTAAACATACATTGTGCAAGAGCTAAAATCTGCCTATTGCAGGTCTTTTTTAGGCCTGAAATGTTATATAAATTATTAATTAGACATTAATTAACTTATCCAGACCATAATCAACTTTCGATGCCATCGCTAGCCTGTGATGTTTATTGGATTAGGTTCCGATTAGCCGTTCGCCTTCCATTCATGATTTAATCATGAAATGGATAATCGAATCTTTGTTTTTTTAACTATTATAGTGAGAACTGCCAGCTCTTTATCTAATCTCCCAGAAAAGCCTACCCATCAGAACAGAATGCACCAAAGCCACCAAATTGAATCTATTTTTTCAAAATTTTCTGGACCCTACGTTTTTTTCCTTAATTCACTACTTGAAGTTTTTGACAAAATGTGGCATAGATTTTTGTTATCGTAACAATGGTATTGGTTAAATCATTAAATTAATGAAATCTCATCGTCAGGGTTGATTATGGTCTTGTCGTGTGAATTAATGTCTAATAATAGTTTATATAACAGAACATTAGAAGCCAAACCCTATGCAGATTTAGCTCTTACATAATACGCCAAATGCTTAACAATTACCATCATATAAGATGATGGGCGCACGAGATGTAAATAGAGTTAGGGCACGTGATTGTTGACGAAATCTGCAATGAACCTCGCATAATGGGGATGTTCGATTGTCAGTCCGGGTCGTCCCGAATTGACGGAATTACAATTGAGGGACGCCGAATTAAGTCCCGTCACAGTTCTGTCAGTCCCGACAAAATAATATGTTTCTGTCGTCATGGTTGATTGAGATATTATTTTATGCAGTCGTTGGCTGTGTTGTAGCCTGAATCCCCCTGTTTACTCGATTGTCAGTAGTTTGGGGTTGACGAATCCAATTCCGGAACGTTTAAACAAGAATGCCCAATCTGTCATGATCAAATCCAACTGTAATAAAGGGAGACAAGTCTAATTTTACTATTCTTTGTTTATTAACATTTATCAAGGGTTTGTTTGTATTTTTACAATTAATTAGCAAAACGGATAGCGTAATTGTAATAAATAATGGAAAACAAATACGAAATCTCTTAGTTGTTTGTTTCTTTCTTGGCATTAATTCAAAACAATTTAATTCGGAGATTAAAGGGAGGCAACTCGTGAATTTTTACAAGATTGAAAATACATGTAATAATATAATAAATAAATAATCATTAACGATTCATGTTGAAAACAAATCAATAAAAAAAATTGGAAGAAAAATAACAAATACCATGAAAAACTTCTAAACTGTGTTGTATTATATTTTATTTTTTCTGGAATAAATAAATAAATCATATCAGTGATCATGATTTTATTAAAGAGACAGTAGGGCCTACTCAGGGGCGGATCCAGGAATTTTTGCAGGAGGGGGTTTGCCAGGTTCCTGAGAAAATGTATCCCCCCCCCCCCCTCGGCTTGAAATTTTTTGAGAAATACATGGTCTCTATCGTCATTTTGGCGTATATACAGACAAACTGAGCTTTTTAAACAGGGAAATCCAACCTCCTGTTTGACGTCAATTTTTATTATGAATTAATACAATGACATTGTGATTCAATTTTATTGATGCAAAACATTAATTGTGATATCACATGTCTGTATCATTATCTTGCGCTTTGAGTGCCCATCATGTCGCACCATCTGACGATAAAGGATAAAGCACAATTATGACACTTTTCTCATAAAAAAGGTTGTTTTACAAAAAAATTTATGTAGCTGAACAGGGCCCCCCCCCCCTTAGATCTGCGCCTGGTACTTCTTTTTCAACATGGAAATTCAAAATAAAAATGAAATGAAAGTGGGGTTTAAGGTCCTACTTTTCTCTGCTCCAACATGGTTAATGAAGATACAAATTCAAGATGGCCCTATAGGGTCCAGTGCGGGGTACTCCCACCGAAAATGTTGAAAAAAAGATTTGATTTGCTGCATTCTGGCGGAGTGACATGAAATGAAATAGAAATAAAGAACATCTTGCAGAGCTTAAAACCTATTATATCCGTACTAATGTATGAATTATCTCAAATTTGCGACCTATTTGCATCTCTCCGTCATCCAATGGAAATTTTGATCTTGTAATAAACCCAAAACAAATTTACAACCTCGTCCCCCCCTCCTCCTTAGATCTAGTGCTGCTGGTAGGGCAAGTCTACATGGCGTGATATAAACCAGACAGTCTTGGTTTCAGTCTGTAAGTGTATATGTGGCTTGAAGATTGGGGTGCCTTCTTAACCTTGTGGGTTTACTCTGGTTTCCTCCCACAGGGAAGACCATAATAAAATAATAGAAGGCGAAGACATTTACATGGCACATGAATTATTTTTTCGAAAAAATGAATATCCAGTACACTACTTAAAATTTACTTTTACAATTACACCAGTATTTTGACAGACAATTTTCCCTTTGCTGATGAATTTCGAAATCAAAGGGTAGTAATGTGTACTGCTTTTAGTTGCATTTTGCAATCTCTGGTGCATAAAATATTCTCAATAATGCCCTTGTGTGTCAATTTATAACATCATTAAGGCCAAACCAATATAATGTTTAGTTCTTCAGGTTCTTGTTTTTGTTCAATAAATAGGGGGGGGGGGGTGTATTGCCGAATGGTTAGCGTATGCGCGTTGTATCATAAGGTCTGTCATTGAATCAGTTGGTGTGGTTTCGATTCCCTGGTTGTAAGTGACAAGGAGTAGGGTCGCATGTTCAACCTCATAGGTTTTCTCCGGGTCCTCCTTTTTCCCCCCACTGCTAAAAACCCTAAGCACAATCAAACTATTGAAATAAAATTGATGTCCTTGATATATTAAAACAAAGAAAGTTTTACATGTACGTGTAAGCTGAAATAAAGCGAACAATCCTGAGTAAAATTGTTAACTTAAGTCTGAGAATGCTTTGTTTTGTAATCTCGGGGACTGGCCTTTAAAAAAGGACATGGTTATCTTCCCTTCCCCATAACACTAATTATTCTCAAATCAAATGAACTTTAACCCTTTAACTAGGGCCTCTTAGTCCGCACTGTCACATGCACAGCTGTGGCAAACATAAAATGTTCCTTTAACAGGGAAAGCTATTTACATATCTTAATCAGTTTGAGGTGGTCTAAAGCGGTGGACACACCAGCCGAATCAGTCAGCGCCTGAATTTTAGCTGAATGAGTGGACACACCAGTCGATTGCATCTCCTTCAATGTCACATGATTAAACATGGCAGCGACCATGTCTTCAAACAATCACATGACTTCTTGATAGCAGTAGTGATTGGCTAATATATTCTGCAATTGGGTGAAGTGGACACACTAGGCGATTATATCAAACATGTTTCATTTGGGCGAATAAAAAATTTGGCCAGGCGACACAGGTGAATTTCGGCAGTGATTGATTCAGCGAACGATTCGGCTAGTATGTGTACCGCTTTACATGTAGGTATAGCAGTTTCAGTCTATCCGGGAATGTACAAGTATTAATATATCACCTTTCTCTAATTTCCTTCAAGGAAGTAGAGTATTCAATATTTACATGTAATAAGTACTAATGGGTTAACGTTCACTTTCACTTGGGTAGTCTATATTTACATGTAACAAGTACTAAAGGGCTAATATCCACTTTCACCAAAGATCATATAGGTTAAATCAAATATCTGCACCATTTAAACATTCTTGTAATTTCAATCTGATTAAAACACAGATCTATATTTAGTTTCATTTTTTTTATACTTTCGGTGGCCTACAATACATGGAGATCTGACCGGTTGCGTCAGAGGTCATAGGCGCTGCTTTTGACCCTATGACGTCAGACATTGATTAATCAATCAGCATTGACATTGACGTTTCTAGTGGTTTACTCACAATTCTGTGCATGGCATGACGAGAATTCGCTGTAATAGACCGTTTAATTGGCTGATATTATCCCTCACTTCAACCAAAAAGCTGGTAATATAATAACTCTTCCAGATCCTAGTGTAGTAAAGACAAATAAAACAAAATTTTGAACTATAAAAAAAATGAAACGAAATAGGATCTGTGTTTTAATCAGATTGTCCAATTCTAGTCACATAGCCAGATAGTCAGTAAAAATATCCATTTAAACATTCTTTTAGCTTGATCACATTTGATCAAGGCTTCCAAAGAGGTCTGGCATTACTCTTTTGGGACGGAGCTGTAGAGGGTCTGTTTCGTAGTTTAATCTTTTTCCAATTGTTAGAGTTAATATTCGACACAGAATTTCCATTTAGGTCTTTATAAATCATGTTATCTTTTACAGGACAGTCCCAAGGAGCATCGAAAGTTGGCTCCTCGAACTGATTTTTTAGTCCGAAGAGGGACTCATCACAAAAAGTTGGTGTGTGCTTCTGGCGACGAAATATCTCAGTTCTCAATCCAGAGCCCTTTTTCAACATCACAAAATTTTCACAACTTGAATTCGGGGTTGGTGACCAAAACAATGGCCGATCTTTTTTCTTTTTTTTCACTATGATTTTTTGACTGTCAAATTTCTTGGTGCTATCCCAAGGTGGTTGAAAATTGACTCGTCCGGAAAGACGGCCTTGGTGATGAGATCGGAAAAGGGATTCATCCACCGGAGATGATGAATCAACCATACGATATCCAAAATGTTTGAATGTTGTTGATTTTGGACGATTATCTGCTACAGAAGGAGGTCTGGAACCTTGTATAACCCAGTCATCACTCATCATTGACTCAATGCTTTAAATCTGGAAGAAAAAAAAGGTTTGATATCATTGCAAAAACTGGAAATAAGCTACGGTCTGTTTTCCATGTGTGTGTTTTCGTGGCACTTTCGAGCGTGTTTTCACTGGCGAAAAAGCCAGTCTAATGCAATTGCATTGGGACCACTTCCATGTAACCGTCAGAAACGTGTACATGAAAAAGAGAAACGCTTACATGGAAAAGGGTCCTAAAGGTCACGTTTAATAGTTGAGATATTGGATTCTGATTCACACTCAGAGTATCTCCAGTTGTGAATATAAGTGATGAGGAGTGTCTAAGTGAGCTTGTTTGCAATGGGACCACTCCATGTAACTGTCTGAAACGTGTACATGAAAAAGAGAAACGCTTACATGGAAAAGGGTCCTAAAGGTCATGTTTAATAGTTGAGATATTGGATTCGGATTCACACTCAGAGTATCTCCAGTTGTGAATATACGTGATGAGGAGTGTCCAAGGGAGCTTGTTTGCACGTCTGGTGCTACGCCCGTGTCCCAGATATGTATTAAAAATAATTTTGTGTGACATTTAGTGAGTTACATTTTGCAACCGAAATTGTGTTCCATTGGCGTGCACAAAAGAATTGGCACGCATTAAAGGCTCAATACCACTCTTGTTGTAACTGAATAATATGTCCCAATCTTTATTCTACTCAACAAATTGTACTATTTTACAATATTTCAATTAATTGATGATACAAATTTCATCTAACACACCTAATTTAAAAAATTGGAAAAATTCAACTTAATGATTTGAAAAGCCTTACGTAAACCTTTTCAAATGTGTCTTGTATTTAAAAATATTTTCGAACCCTCTGGATAAGTAAAATAGGATGTAATGGATGATTTACACAACAGGTAGGACACATAAACATCTAATACTTAGAATAAGGCTATTATTTATTTTCTGGAGCTGTCAAGCCAGCACGAGTGTTATTGTCCCTTTAACAGAACACAGTTTTTATGGGGTACAATCACTAGTTTATTCTAAAAGCACGACGTTTCGACAAGTATCCTCTTATCGTTATCAAGCACAAATGACAATTTAGTAAACTTGTGGACAATATATATGAAATCAATAAGAAACCCTGCATACAGTGTGCTATGATGATGGAAATTTTGCCCGGGCAGCGGCACTATGGCCTACTTATATCGAATTCCAACTTCCAAGGGATCTTTTACGTGCACGTCAATGTATACACAGGACCTCGGTTTTGCCGTCACATCTGAGCGACTAGACAGCTGTCCTTGTCAGGCCCTCTGTCCTGCACCACTAACAAGGGGAGTCACGTCAGAAAATCCTGATGAATTTTCTCAGCCATACCATGAAAACAGGGGCTGTGTCAAATCAATAGGCATTACATTAGCTTTAGTATTTACTATTTGTTTGCTTTAAATGTACATGTACCGGTGGACATACACATACCAACTTCGCAATATCTCAATATGTCAAATTTAATTATATTTTCTTTTTACCAAAGTCCAGTCAATCATTTTTATTACTAATACTAAACTACCGATATCTATTCTAATCTATATAAATATAATTTTACATCGGAAAAAACAAAAAACGTATATAGCCTTGAATTACAATTAGTAGATCTACTAATTACTAATGCTATTAAACAAGCCAAACTACAAACGCGAAAAATTAAAGAAGAAACTAGGATGATATAATTACCGTTATCTCCAGCGGATATTATCATCAGCAACAGTTATGTCACTCTTTGCACGAAATTCTCCACATTATTAACTGGCTTCAACAAGTTTGTAACTGTTATTGTTGCCACAACAACCCTGTTGACAGTGACATAAATTATTGATTAACTTTCTTTATTCCAAAAAAGACTGGAAAATAACGACTACACGCACCTTGCGTTTTTTTCTACTCTCCAATCCAAATGTTCACAATACTCTCCAACTAAAACAAATGTGGTATAGAAATGACTCAAAATCATATTCTGCAAAATATTTACATATATTGATAATATTATGGTATCTTATATTTTAATGAGCATCTAAGTGTTATATAATTTAAAGCGAATGTTGAGCAGAAAAGGCAATTTGAGACAATACCCGGCATTCCTTTAAATAAAAATGGCGACACCACGCGCTCAGTTGAGAATTTCTTATGGTTTGATAGAGATAAACAGCGAAATTAAGTTTCAATTTTTCATTTGTGGTAAGTGTAATTTATCTCTTTGATAACTTTATCAAAATGCAATATCCAGAACTGTCTATCATAAAGGTTTAGGAACGAAAATAGCCATCGATTTTGTGTAATTTTTGTGCAAATTTTGACCGGAAGTGGTGAATTTCTTGTTGTTTCTTCGATCGTGCTATTTATATTTTTCACGTTTTATGTTCGTTTGTCCAACGATGTAAATCGTCATACATGTAGGTACGTAAATAATTATATATATAAGATGTTGTCGTTGTGTGAGCATGTGAAAAATTCAGGCTATAGAATCATGTTTTAAAAGTGAAATCTGTGGATGAATGAAGTGGATGGATTATTTTTATTACTATAATAACTATTATTATAAATTCTGGATTGGAATTCCCTACTTTTAGTACTGACTTAATGCAAATAGAGCAAGAGGGAATAGAAGATCTGTAGTTTTTGCATGGACCAAACTCTACATTTACGTAAATATCTTGTCTCAAAATGGATTTAACATTTTTATACGACAGCAAAGCCAAAAGGGATTTTGATTTGTTACTGAAGGAGATCTTTGAGCCAGTTGACACTGTCAAAACGAAAAAAGTTCTTTTTGATGATGGTGATGATTATCAGGTTAATATCTTATATCAAATGGGATTTCTTTTCCTCTTAATTTCTCATTTGACATTTTCATGATTGCTACATGTATTATGCTATACATGCATTTACAGTTTAAAAGTAACTTTGAAAATCTCTCGCATACTTCATTACTTGAGTGCAAGTTTCATCAGGTCGGAAAGAAGTTAATTTAGATTACCGGTAGTAGTGTCAGACAAAATCTACAGCACCATAATAGTATATTTTATACTACTCAGTATTTTGAACTTTGTGTCAAAACATATACATGTATTAATAAACTCTATAAAACACTGATAAATGCAAAACTGTGTCATGGCAAATGGCACCAGGGGTATTAAGTGTACATGTATGTATGTGACATATTCTTTCTTTCCAGATTTGTAAATCATTGACTGTCTGTTACGAGAGATTGATCAAAGTTACTTTTGTTCAGTAAAATATTCAAATAATTATCTTTTTAACAGGGATGATTTTGAATCCTTGATGGATTCTTGAAACTCTATAGACTCATTGAATCATATAATCAAACATTGTCAGAATATGATGGGGCAATTTCAATAATATCAGTTGAAGTTATCTTATTCATAAGACAAATACAAATAGGATTCAGTGTTCAAAATACTTATGTACACTTTTGTTGATTCCACGCCTACATGTGTGATGGAAAGGATCAGTCATTGCATCAGATTGGCTAGTCTTGAAGGACTGTACAATATTGGCGCCGTTTGTGTGAAATGTTCAACTGATTGCTAATTTCAGGAAAGTATTACAAATATTGAAGTCGTCCGTTCCAGGGTCAATTTGGCAGTCAGGTCAGAGGGACCAGGGAAAGAACACAGGGATAATAGTATGCTAGTGAGTAAAAGCTGCATTAAATATATGTCTGTTCCGTCCTTTATTGCTTATAACCAACTTTGTTATGTACATGTAACAAACACTGTAACACAGGTATCATTTAATCCTGTGTATCTAGCACTAATTTTATTCACATTTGTTTAATATCAAATCTTTGTTCAAGTTGATTATGGTCTTGGTAAGTTAATAAATGTTTAGTAAACCACTAGAAACATCAACGCTGATTGATTAATCAATGTCTGACGTCAAAAGCCACTCGTATGACCCCTGAAACGAAATATAGATCTGTATTCCAATTTACAAGTATTTAATTTCCTAACCACTTTTCAAGAATTAATCTTTATACATCAGTAATCAATTGCGTTGTTTATTTGTTAACAGTGATCAAGAAATTAAACACTTATGAATTAGACACTCATGAAAATTGAATGGTCGGCTTTAAACTCGACACAAGTACAAATTGGATGATTTTTGGTGATTTTAAACGAGATCTACAAATTTTTAAACAAAGATTTGATATTGAATAAATGTGAAAGAAACTAGTGCTAAATACACAAGATTAAATAAAACCCAGATTACAGTGAAAAATCTAGTACATGTACAGAAGATATTGTATGAAGCACATTACTTGGCTGCCTTTACCAAGTAGCATTGAAATTTGATGCTGTATGAAGCACATTTGGCTACCAGTTTACAAAAACATGTATGTTATTTTATAAAACTTGTTTGAAGTTGAACATGAGTAAATTCTTAATCTTTTTTTGATGTACTGTCTTAAAAAAAAACATACCAGTATTTTAAACATGTAAATATTTGATCTTTTCTTCATTCTATAGAGTAGATTCAATACTAAATTTGTCTGTTCGTTCCTTCCTTGCTGATATTTACATGTAAATATTTGATCTTTTCTTCACTGAGTAGATTCACTACTAAATTTGTCTGTTCGTTCCTTCCTTCCTTGCTGGTATTTACATTTAAATATTTGATCTTTTCTTTACTCTAGAGTAGATTCAATACTAAATTTGTCTGTTCGTTCCTTCCTTGCTGATATTTACATGTAAATATTTGATCTTTTCTTCACTCTAAGACTAGATTCAATACTAAATTTGTCTGTTCGTTCCTTCCTTGCTGACATTTACATGTACATGTAAATGCTTGATCTTTTCTTCATTCTATAGAGTAGATTCAATACTAAATTTGTCTGTTCGTTCCTTCCTTGCTGATATTTACATGTAAATATTTGATCTTTCATTCATCTAGAGTAGATTCAACACTAAATTAGTCTGTTCGTTCCTTCCTTGCTAACCTTACATGTATCAGAGAATGAAAAATTTTATTTTGCCAACAACAAGGCCGGTACATACAGTACATGGTGTATGATAGTAGAAAAATATGATAATTTATCAGTACACTTCACTATCCGTCCATCTTCCTTAGCCCAGTCGGAGCAGAACAGTGGGATGTTAAACTCCATTTTGGTTCTTTTTGTATTATTCTTGAATTAATTATTGATTGATTTTGAGTGAAACATTTTGCAGAAAGATGTTCAAGGGGTAATTTTATATTCAGGGTTCGAGGGTTGAACTGATTATCTACATGTAGTATTTCAATAATCAGAAATTTTTGTATGTAGTTTATATGCAAATTTTTGTGGTCCATCCGTCATTGTCATATTTTTAAAATAATGATTATCTCTTTGACTGTACTTTTTAAAATAATTTTTTTGAATTTTTGACTATAAGGTGAGTATAAAAAAAAATATTCTATAAATAAAGGCACATACACATCACATACAAAACTTACGTTGTCTGTCTCCGCTTGAGAACAGACACTAAGCTAGTTGACCGACATTTAAAGTCCTAATTCAGTGAGTTAAGCCTAAAACACTTAAGTACATATACATGTTTTGAGAATTTTGAAAAGTATACAGTACATGTATATTCTGCTTTCAATTAATAAAATTGAAAAGGTTTATAATTAGTCTTTTTGTGTATATGTTTAACAGATGTGAATCAGAGTAGGGCCACATTAGAAAACAGTATAATACATGTAATTGTTGGATATGGTGTCAATTTACACTGCTGTAAAGGATGCAAATTTCTGTTCCAAATTATGACTGGTCAATAGTCCGATTAACAACCAATAGCTAATTGCATAACAATATCATTACGCTTTAAACATAGCTCCAAATTGGACCAAATATGTTTACATAACGTTACATCATGACTCACGATTTTATTATGCCCAGTTAACCAGTGCATGGCAGAATATTGCAGAAAAACTAATTGCGTGACAATCGAGGCTATCAAACGGCTACAATGTAAAGAATACTGGTTGGAGAGGAACAATCCTTTCACTGTTTTTAATACCTTAAATCACTGTCCAAAGTTTTAGAGAAGACCCCAGATTAAACGAAGGGCTGTCATGTTGCTGTACTTAGGATAGATTTGATTGAACGGGAAGAATAAACACACTCCCTCAAAAGTTCAAGTATCAGAAACCAATCCAGCAATGGCCAGAGAGGGATTTCTCGGGCCATTGCTTCAGGAATATGGGTTAAGTTAACCAGTTATCAAAACTAGATCCAGAGCGTGTACAAATGTAGTTTAGGAAACAAGTGTGTGGGTAATCTTTTCAATAGTATTTTACACATACAAATAACACAGACAAATTTATTAAAACAGGGAAATGATAATTGTGCCGTATATGCAATTAATTGAATGTTAGCCTAGATCTATTCAAATTGATGACTGTTACATGAACGTTGTATTAATTACAACGATGTGGAACAGGTCAGACGAACCATTTTGGTGGTATGGATTTTTTGATTTGATGCTTTGTGTCATTTTATTTGTTTTCTTTAACATTTTTTCTGTATCATTTCAGATGGTCGATGGCCAGTTGAAAAAGTTTTGTGAGATATGTTCAGAATGTGGGAAAACCAGTCGATTACGTCTATACCAAATCAACTTTGATGAAGCATATTATATGTGTGAAAATGTTGAGGTAACTATAAACTTTTAAATCCATCTGATTAAAATACATAGAGGATATTTGTCGTTTTAGAGTGAAAATATAAACGTTTTCTTGCTTCGAGATGAAATAAAATATGTTATTCACGACAGAACGACAAATGTTCTATTTATTTTATGAATTACAATCATTTTAGGTAAAAACAACATGGACTACTTTGTCCGCTTTGACAACGCGGGGGGGTTAGACCGCTTTACGTCTTTATCCGCTTCTGGTGTATGAATACCTTTGAGAATGTAACGATCGACAAGTCGGCGTGTCACTAAAAAGTGTAACTCCAGAAAAAAAGTAGTCCCGGCGGCCAGTGAAATAACAAGTTTTATTTCACTGCTAGCCAGGGGAATAAAACTTTTATTTCACTAATAAAACGCGGTATTCCACTACTGATCATAAAATAAAGATCTCTATTTCGTTTTGGAAAATCATGTATGACATGTCTGGAATTCGCGAAGTAGCATCCCTACCAACCAGTTAACTACACCCACCACCCATCAGCATCTTTATTGTCCAGGTCCCACAAAATGCAAAATACATGTGTCAGAATTCAATCTGATTAACATACAGATCTATATTTCGTTCCGTTTTTTGATACTTTAGATGGCCTCCACTAAATGAAAATCTGACAAGTTATTATAGCGGGATATCGCGTCACGGGTCGTACAAGCGACTTTTCAGCCTATGATGTCAGACATTTGATTAACAGATGAGTGTTGATGTTTCTAGAGGGATATCTACAGTTCCGCGCACCTTACGCCAAGAACTCGCTGTAACAGACTGTTTCATTGGCTAATCCCTCACATCAACCAACTCTTCTAGATCCTAGTGTAGTAAAGACTAGTAAAACAATTTTTTGAACTATAAAAATCAAAATGAAATAGGATCTGTGTTTTAATCAGATTGTTTTTAAATAGATAAATCTTCCAATTTTAAATAGATGAATCTTCACAAATCTTTAGGTCCTAGGTTTCATCCTGGTATTAGCCGCAAATTTTCTCATAGAATGTTGTCAGACACACAACTGTCAAGTCGTTCGGATGGCACGGAAAGCCGAGGTCCGATGTATACATTGACATGCACATAAAAGATCCCCTGACACCTGGAATTCGATGTAAGAGTAGGTTATAGTGCCGTTGGCGGGCAAAATTTCCCTCCCAGGTTGTAAGTGACAAGAAGTATGGTCGCCTGTCCAACCTTGTGGGTTTTCTCTGGCTCTGCCGATTTCCTCCCACTGCTACAGACCCCTACGTGTAAGTGAATTATTGAAATAAAATTGAACAGTAGAACACGAAATACATTTCATTTCATTTTAACAAAGTTTTGTTTGTCTTTTCCAGTGCTCTTATCCATTAGATGTAGATGATAGCAATTCGACATCAATAATAAATCGTGACTTCAGAACGATAACAACTCCATCTCAGCGTCGGCAAGCAGCAGCAGCAAATCAAACCACACCATTTTCCACATCGTCTCATTTTCCTAATAGACCACCAAGTGTTCAAAGTTCATTGAGGAGCCGTGTGTCGTTTAATAGTGTTAAGAGTAGCACAAACTTTCAAAACATACCCACAGCGTATCACTTAAGTTGTGCCAAAACTCTTTCAAAATCATCTCCCGTTCAGTTGAATCCAAACATTGTATCAAAGTTCCAGCCAATTAATTTAAAATCAATCCACAAGCCGTCGGTTACAGGTGACACTTCTCACAGTCGAACAGTGATTCCAGTCAGTACGAGCAAAAGTACTAACAATCACAATCGTAGAAACTCCCAGACAACGCAATCCACGGACAATTATTTAGAACAATTTGCTGGGTTTGTGAAATCTCGTGTAGCCACCCCTCCAAGTGTTATTAAACCCAAGACTAACATTGAAAGAAATAATTCCTTGGGCTCGAAAGAAAATAGTCCTTCCCCTACAATTTTATCGTGTAATGTTACGTCGCTTAAACGCAAATCAAGATCGGTAACACCAGAACTTTCAAAACAAAAGAAACAGAAAATTGAAAATCTTTTTTCTAAGGAAGTATTGAGTAAATCTTCTCTCTCAGTCAAATCACAATCTGTTGCTAGTGTTCATCGACAATCTCCAACACCTCGTGAAATAATTGTTTGCAGACCTGCAGGTTCTCTAAAAGGTGAACCCAGAGAAACAAAGCCAGTTCCTAAGAAAGTCACACCAGCAGATATAATACAGCATGTTCTAAAAAAGGCTAAAACCGAAGATCATTCTCTAGGTGCCTCCAAATTTGCTCCCTTTCAGTTAAAATCACCAGCTGTTCAAGTTTCGAAATCTGTAACAAACAAGATAAGTGCCAAGTACACAGATGTATTTAAATCTTTGACGTGCAGTGCTATAACCATTAGTAAGGATGGCCCTAATTTGCTTCTAAATAATAACGTTGCAAACAGTGATAAAGAGAAAAAAGCTGCGAAGCCCAAAGTTGTGTTTAGCACTCCACAGACGATTCCTAAAAACAAAAAGACTCCTCAAATTGTCCCAACAACCAAATCAAATATTGTGAGAAAATCACCTTTATTAAAAACACAGAAATCGCAGGATTATTCATCTTGTGTTGACGATTATTGTGATTCCTTTGATACCTCCTTGTTTGATGATGTAGCTTTTGACTCGAAAGCTGCAGAGGTCAAAAGTGAGGAAGAAATTGTGTACACTAAACTTTTAAATACAGTTAATGACTCTACGCTGAAACTTAAACAAAGTTTTCCAGAGTATAAAAATTCTTCAACTGTAAACAATTTCCGAAAAGAATGGGATCAATCTAGTGATGGTCGCAGTGTAACTAGTTCTGCAAGTAGCTCCCCAAAGTTGTCCCCCTTTGAACTGAAGACAAATTGTGAAAGTGCTGTTAATATTGATTCACTTTTGCTCGATTGTCGTGACCATGAGCTCGACCAAGAGGTGAGTTATATTCTGTCCTCACAACATCCAGCACAAGACGACGGTTGTGCAAAAATAAATGTGAAAAACCCTGAATGCACGAAAAACCCTGATGGCGTAACTGACATTATAATATTCGCTGATTCTATTAATAAATTTGATAACGCTGAAGTGGACTTTGAAATATTAGACAACCAATCTTAATGCAAAGTTCTTTGTTTCAAATTGTTTGTGTGTTTGTGAAAAATGTCTGCCCAAACTAAAAATAGAAACACAAGAAGCAATCCTGTCAAAGAAACACCAGGACTGTCCAAAAATGAAAAGACTCCAACAAGGCCACAGAGCATCATTCGAACCAGACATCAAGCAGTTCAAGATGCTAACCCTGGCTTGGACATCAAAAGACGACCAACTCCAGGGGTATTCTATAAAGAAGAAAAAGGTAACAAAAGTAAAACTGCAAAGAGCAAAGAAGAAAGTGAAGATGACTCAACACCTAGAAGAGGCATATCTTCAAAGGTAACTCCAGGAAAACCAAAGAACACACAAAAGAAAACTCCAAACAATGCACCATCAAATGATAAAAGTGCCAAAGGTTCTGCAAAACAAAATGATAAAAAGGAGACACCTAAGCCTAAGGGTAACACAGAAGTCATTAAACGGGGAAGAGGTCGACCAAAAAAGATACTTGATGGTGTTGGAGGTACACCAGACACATCTGTTATTGTTGATGATTCTTCAGATGACATTTCAGATAATGATCAAACAGAGTCCACAGAAAGAACTACCAGTAATAATAAGAAAACACAACAAAATAACGGGGATCCCATCAAAAAAGGAAGAGGTCGACAAATGAAACTTTCCCTGGGAAGTACAGTGGAAACGTCACTTGTTGTGGGTGATTCTTCAGATGATAATTCCAATGATGGCAAAAGAGAAACAAGAAGATCCACTGAAAATAGCAACTTCCGTGGTAGCAGGAAAACTGCAGCATCCACCACAACCCCATCAGTCCAAAAGAAAACTCCTGTGATTCTTAGGAAGTCTCTAAATGAAACTCAGTCCACAACACCAACAAAAGCTGAGTCTAATCCAAAAATAATTCACATAAAGTCTCCTGCAAGTCCTATGAAAGTAATTAAAAGAAATAACACTCCAGTCAAAACACCTGTTGTACACCAAATGAAAGAAAGTTCTGCCAATTCTTCAGTGAGCAGTGGAAAAATAAGCATTCTTAGTCCAAACAAGGAACCAGAAAAGAAAGGCAGAGGGAGGCCAAGAAAACAATTACTTGTAAATGATATGGAAAATGATAATGATAAAGAAGATTCTAAACAACCACAAAATTCTAAAACAGAAAAGTCGGAACAATCTGTGCAAGTAGATTCTACCAAATCTGAAGATTCTACCAAATCTGAAGATTCTACCAAATCTGAAGATTCTACCAAATCTGAAGATCCCACCAAATCTAAAGATCCCACCAAATCTGAAGATCCTATCAAAACTGAAGATCCTACCAAATCAGAAGATCCTACCAAATCAGAAGATCCTACCAAATCTGAAGATCCTACAAAATCTGAAGGTCCTACAGCGACTGGAGATTCTAAACAATTAGAAGATTCTAAAAAATTAGTGGACTCTCAAGCTACAAAAGATTCCATGGAAACCGAAACCATAAGTACCCCAGAACCAAAGAAAAGAGGAAGACCTCGGAAAAATCCTCTCATAGATAACACACCAATAAATTCTGTGGAGGAACCCAGCGCGAAGAAAGAAAAATTGAAAGAAGTAATTGAAACCGAAATAGTACCAGAAAAGATAGGTGTTGCGATGGAAACAGAAACAATACCAGTTAAGAAAGAGACTTGTTCACCGGCTATTGGTGAACATACAAATCAAAGCTCTGAGCAACAGATAATTCAAGAAGGAAAAACAGAACATCAAAACCTATTGCCAACTGGAGATGAGGAAATGTGTAGTCCAAATGACACAGGAATAGAGGAAATGGATACAACAGAAGGAAAGGGGAAACTAGATCTTAATGTAATTGAAACAGTTCATTCCACACAACCTGAAAATGAATTGACAGAAACAACAGATCTGCACAGATTGGCGGAAAAAGATTCAATGGACATCTCGAAAGATGTCGGAGAGGACAGTTTGAAAATGACTGAAGCAATTTCGGTTACAGGTACTGATGATGCAGTAGTTCCTGGGTTGGAAAACAAGACAGAAAGTTCTACAACTTGTTCAGCTTTAAGTGAATCTGATCACGATTCAGCTATACAGCAAGCAGTTAGTCAAGATAATTCAGAGAGTGTATTAGATACTTCTAATAGTCTAGAAACAAAGAAAGTAGATGTAAGTGACTTGGCAGACCAGGAAAATGTTACTGCTACTAGTACATCTGCTATATCAACAAGTGAATCCCAGTCTTCGTCTGAAACAGATATGCTGGATATTTTAGCATCTGCATGCCTTTCCCAATCTCAGACAATAAACTCATCACTGACATCCACATCCATTCTGGAGTCTAAAATGATCAATACACAAGCTTCAACAGTGGTGATGCAAGATGAACCATTGCCAACACCTATCATAGAAAACAAAGATATGTCTTCAAAATTGCACCAACCAGAAGATGCAGTTTTGATCTCTCCAGAGGCTCCAAAGCCACCAAATCAAGGTACAAAAGATGCACCTCCTATCACAAATCTTCTGACTTCAACAACAGCTTCCCAAGCTGATCTACCTAAGGTGGATGTGATATCTACAGTTAATGCATCTCTGGAGCAGGAAGAGGAGAACACGTGGAGTTTAAATAAAATGATCAATCTCTTTATCCAGTGGCAGAACACTGATGCTATGTGCTGGCTTGATGTAGTCCTTGCCATTCTTGCACACAGTCCAACTTTGAAAGAGATGGCCAAAAATTGGGTAGCTAATCATCAAGGCATGAACAAGAATGGAAACAATGTCAGGAGCAGGATAACAAATGACTCCCAAGATAGTTTAAGTGGTATGGATGAATTTAAGACTGAGAGTGCGGAGAATAAGGATGGTGATAATGATGTTTCCAATTGTGTCCAGGGGATGTTGAATAAAGTCTGTAATATGGATGAAAATTCTTCAGATACTCAAATGGCAGTAGACAGTGAGACAACAGCTGCATCTGAAAAACAAAGCGAACCCTTGCTAAAAAATCCTTTTGAGTTGATAAAAATACCCAGTAAAACAACAGTCAGTTTGAGCGCCCAAAGTACCCCGGTGAAAGAAGAAAATAAACTGAAATCCAAATTAAAATTCCCAGTTATCATTACTCTAATCAAGGCACATGAACAAGCACAGTATCTTCTTCAGAACTTTTTATCCAAACCAGTTACCCAGAATGATACTATTGTTCAGGAAGGCAACATTGTTTCTCAGTCATCGTCCAACCCACAAACGGGAGCTGGCATCAAAATAATCTCTCCTCTTTTAACGATGCTTCACAAGCAACCGAATAGCGGTCTACCAGTGGATGCGCTCACTCGTTTAGGGGAATCAATATCTAAATTAGAAGACGTGAGAGAAGTGGTATGGGATATCTTACAACCGAGATTAAAATGTGAGAAAGGGAAAAATGACAGTCCAGTGTTTGCGCTGCCTCTCCTGGTGCGCGAGAGTCAGGAACTGAAGCATATGTTTTCAATAGAGTATAGTTTGGTTTTCCATTGCAATAAATGTGATTATAAACAGGAGAATAAGTTTGTAAAGGCTCTTCCGTCCTTACCTAATGTTCCGGACAACTTCAGTATGAAAGAGCCCGCATTTATTAGAAGTTGTTTCCGATGTGAAGAACCGGGTCAAAGAATGTTGATGAAAATCCACAGGTTCGTAATTGACAATTTTGTATTAATCTTGCAAAATGAATATACATGTGTATATATATATATATATATATTGCAGAATCCACATTTATTTCAACTACATGTATTACAAATTTGTCACTTGTGATGGCAAAAAGAGTCCAAAGTCCCCAAAAAGTTAAAATATTTCGACATTTTTGTTTATATACATGTATTATGGTAAACAACGACTTAGGACTTCTGACTCATTTTGCTGTCACAAGTGAGATTTGATTTAAATTCTTGAATCAAGAATTGTATCTTAAAAAATTTCTCTCTCTTTTTGTACATCCAAAGCTGAATGGTTAACATGTGCGCGTTAGATCAGAAGGTCTGTCATTCAGTAAAGAGGCGTGGTTTCGATTCCCTGCATGTAAGGTTGACGTCTGTCCATCCTCGTGACTTTTCCAGGTCCTCCAGTCCCCCCTCCCACTTCTAAAGACACCAACATGCAAGCAAATTATTGAAATAAAAATGAACCATATGTTAATCCCAAAATGATCTAGGTTGTGTTGAGTGGACGTTAAAGCCCATTTCTTTCTCTCACTTTTCTTTGAAAGAAAAAAAAACCTATGTACAGTTAGAGTTTACTGTTATAGAAATGTGTACACGAGACCTCAGTGTTTCATCACATCCGAACGACTAGACAGCTGTCCTTGTCAGGCCCTCCGTCCTGCATCACTGACAAAGGGAAACCATGGCGGAAAATCTGGATGAACTTTCTCGGCCAATGCCGGGATCGAACAACCGACCTCCAGGCTAGCGAGCCAGCGTCTTACCCACTTAGCTACCATGATCCCCACATGTACATGTACATTTATCTAATCTTTTTAAAGAAATCCTTCCTAGTATTTTTCCGAAGAAATCCTCAATGGCTACATGTACAATGTATATGAACTTAATAATTTTCTACAGAATAAATCCACTTTATAATAACTTTGTCTTTTGTTTTATTTTTTCAGTATGCGTGATATTGCCATGTTACATTTTATACAAGGTTTACCTAGAGTGGTATATGACGATTTAGATTTTAATTTTGAAGGAACTCTGTACAGTGTGACTGCTGTGGTTCAGTATAAGAACAATCCAGATCACTTTGTTGCCTGGATACGAAATGCTCAAGGTTCGTAGTACATCGACTATAAAGCAAACACTTAATTCTTACACCTTATCACTAAAATGGTGTGGGGGGTGGATGGCCGAATGATTAGCGCATGCATCATAAGGTCTGCCATTGAGTCAACTGGCATGGTTTTGATTCCCTGGTTGTATGTGACAAGAAGTGGGGTTGCCTGTCCTACCTCGTGGGTTTTCTCCAGGTTCTCCGGTTTCCCCATACTGCTAAAAAAAACCATACGCACAAGTGAATTATTGAAATAAAATTGAACCATGTTAGTCCCAAAATGACCTAGTTTGTGTCGAGTGGAAGTTTCTCCCTCTCACTCGAAATAAGGGTAGAGAGTAGCGCGGCTGTCTGAGCCAAATTTTCCCTCATAGCACACTGTATGGCATATGCTGTCTTCATTAGCTCAGTCTGTGTAGAAAGTTGGAACCTCAAACACTATTTCATTTCACTTCTCCATTGGTGAAATGCATGAATAATTTCAACTGGTGGTTAAAATACAAGATTCAAATTGTAGAATGGACATGTCACAAAGAGAACATTTTTATCACATTCCCACAAGGGGGGTTGGATGGCCAAATGGTTAGCATGTGTATGTTCCATCATAAAGTCTGTCATTGAATCAACTGGCATGGTTTTGATTCCCCGGTTGTACGTGACAAGGAGTATGGTCGCCAGTTGAACCTCGTGGGTTTTCTCCGGGTGCTCCAGTTTCCTCCCACTGATAAAGACCCTACGCTAAAGCGAATTATTGAAATAGAATTAAACCATATGTTAATCCCAAAGTGACCTAGTTTGTGTCGAGTGGATATTAAAATCTCTCTCTCTCTCTCATTCCCAGAAATAAGATAAAATGACCTAAAATATGAATTATTTCATTTCAGAAAACCAGTGGATGGAATGTGATGATTTAAAGTCACCCCTGTGCCAGTTTGAAAATGCTCCTCCAAGAATTCCTCCAGAACAGATTCACATAGTCATGTGGGAGAAGAATCTATCTGGCAAACCATCACACAACTTGGAGAATTCCAAAACTGCCGGACTCTTGTCCACTCTCTTGATGTCCACAAGAATGGTTACTGTCACATCTGAAGGCAATAGCAAGGTGTTGACAACCGTCCCTATCCAGTACACACCTGTTGTTCAAGTAAATCAAAAACGCAAACAAGAAGAGACAACCCCTGTGGTACCAAGACCCAAAATCTCTGTTTATTCTGTTAAAACACCAAGACCTAATATAATCTCCTCTAATAGAATATCCAGTAGTCCTGTTACTGTTGTTCCTACACAAGCCTGCATGACGCAAGTTCCCACAACACCACTTCCAGAAAACATTCAGAAAGCTATAAATGAGGTCAAGGAAGCTTCAAAAAATCAGGTTGCTACTCCATCAACTGGTAAAACAAAAGTTGTAATTGTGGGACCAAAACAAAACCAAGTTCTGGGAGGACCAGTTCCATCAAATGAAATGAAAACAGTGAGTATAGGTGGACGAATTGTGAAACTGACAACTCAGCAATTGAATGCTATAAGAAGTAGTCCTGGAGCGAGGGTTTCCATTGTAGGACTTGATGGTACAACCACCTTTTCCATCAAAGGTGTTCAAGAAAGTAAGCCTGCTGCTGCTGCTGCTGCTGAATCTCCCAAAACTACCCTTCTGCAACCAGGACCTGAAAAAGCAGAGAAACAGCTACAAAGTCCTGTATCTAAAGCTATAAATACCATTACCTGTGCTGTAACAAACAACCAAGCTTCCCCAATAATGACAGCACAAGCCAAGCCTGTCACCCAGTCATCATTACTAAATGTAAATTCTACTACCTCTCCACAAACAATACTTCTTCCTAAAGCAACATTACCATCGAATCAAATAGATATTACTCCACAAATTCCGCAGTCTCTTCAACAACCCACGCTAGTCACAACCCCATTTATACAAGCAACAACAACAACAACAACCTTACCAACTTTACTGCCAGCATCTTCGAATACATCCACCAGCTCTCAAGGTTATTTGGACAACAATGTCGTTATCAATCCAAATAGACCTTGTCGAGTTGTGGTCAATGCCCAGGGACAAGTAACAGCACTTGCCAGCAATAATAGCCAGGAGATCATCCCATTGACATCAGACAAGACAACCAACCGAGCCATTCTTCAAAAGTTCTTTAGTCAGTGTGACGAAAATGAGCTCGCCAACACCCTTTCAGTTCAACAACAAAATTCTTCAGAGTTAAAAATGGCATTAACCAGACCATCCCCATTTGTTCGTTCTCCAGCAACTCCCAAAGCTCACCAGGTAGCATCAGTGTCAGATCCTCAACATGATGCCACATCACTTGAAACAGCCATGGCTGTTGACAGCATCTCTAGTCCTTCAAGCAAGCAAGACTTACCAGTATTTGTTCCCAAACCAGCAAGAGGAAGAGCCTCGAGGGGTGCTAGAGGAGGAAAGAAACCAACCAAACCACGGGGCAGGGGAAGGGGTTATATAGTAGATTCACCGGTTACCACTCCAACACCTTATTATAATAAGCCAAACATAATGGGTATCACACCCACCAGTACAGTAACAACCACTTCAACAGCAGCACTGAAACTCCAGAACACAATTTCTGGTAGACAAATCCATTCCACGCCCAGAAAGGTGGCCATTCCAACTAACAATGGTCACATTTTACTGGATGTTCCTGCTGGTAGAAATGCCATGGATTGTTTAAAAGATCCCAACATTGTGAAAAGACTAGTTAAAAATCTCCCCACAAATGCAGTAATATCATCTCCACCAAATACAAGTACGGTTGTATCTTCTACCCAGGAGACTGAAACTATGTCCTTGTTGGCGAATAGCACAACACCAATAACTAACCAACCAAGTATCATCTATAACAAAACCCCTATTCAGCTTCCATCTCCATCTCCATCCACAACTCCTAAATCATCCATACGATCCATTAGTATTCCCTATTCCCAGGAAGGTAAAATAAAAGAAATTTTAGCCAAGCACAACAGTCAGATGTCAAAGAAACCAGTTATCATTCAAAAGATCACCAAAAAAGTAGGTTCCTCTTCAACAGTAATACAGAATCAATATGGGGTTCCAAGTCAATCTCCAGGTGCAAGCCAGTCTGATGTTCTCTCTGCTGCCCTAATGGAATCTGGTGTTCAAGATGATACAGCTACCTTCACAGATGAAAGTTTGCTTGGGGCTCCAGCTACACATGGGTTGGATATCCTGTCTCAAGGCGTAGCTGCGGCTAGCAGGGATATTTATAATCAAGATATCGGGTCTTTAACCCCGCAGTCACAAAGTATGGACATCAACATGCCAGCATCACAAGGTCCACAGAATTTTGAATCGCCCCAACAACAATCACATGCCTTAGACATTTTAATGCAGGGCATTAATGCTGAATCTCTGATAGAGTCTTCTACTAATACCCAATCAGCTGTAGACGAATCACATGCCATGAGCATCCTTACTGGTGGAATAGCACCCACAGTACCTTCATCACAGGGACTTGACATTTTGACTCAAGGATTTAACCCCCCTCCTGTCTCTCAGTCACAGGCTCTGGACATACTGACTCAAGGAATAACTCCCAGAATACAACCAAAAGTGCCCCCCACAAAGAAAATGGTAGTTAGTTGTGCACCAAAACTAGAGCTGAATAATCTTCTAAACCAATTAAAATCAACTAGTATGAAAATTGGTCAAATTGGAGCAACATCTGGAAAAAATCCTATCATCATCTCTTCAGTAGACAAGTCAAACTTTTTACCATCTTCTTCACAAGGAACTAAAATGTTTACCATCAAATCAAATGGCAATAACAGTTCAGAAATAATTGGCTCAGAAACCATTTCTCATGGTCCTGGAAAAATTCTTAATTCAGGCTTTCAATCAAATCGTATCAAAGTGATTCATCCTGCAGGATCAAAATACAGATCTTCAACATTGCAGCCAGAAGTCATCACCACTGTCGTCACACAAAATAAAGAAGTTGTGATTAATCCTCCACAATCCTCCATTGTCACGAAACGAAAGGCAAGTAATCAGTTTGTAAATACCAACACCAAAAAAGTCAAAACTGCTTCTTCAATGATATCCTCTTTTGAAAGTGAAATTCCTACATCTAGTCCAAGAACTGCTCAAGATTTATTTTCTTCTATAGAGAGTGGGACTACTGAAATATCAAACACCCCAAAAGTTCGAACAATTTACTTTGATCCCACAGACAGTTCTTCTCAGTATATTATTGGAAGTTCAGAAAGTGAGTATGAACCAAATGACCTTGTGCCAGTTGAAACCTCAAGTTGTGGACCTGTCTCTTCAGAAGGAATCACTATGGACAGTTTAGTGTCTCCATCAGATAATAATATATTTAGTAAATTTGGAATGACAACTCTGACTGATCCTCGTGAAGCTGAAGTCTTGCAGCATCTTTACGATGTTGTAAGCTCGGCAGATGTGACAAATGACACCTTAACGTCTCCTGTGGACTCAGTGCTAGGTACTTCTGTTATTGGATATGGGGAAGATGGCCTGCCAATAGGTCAAGCTCAAGTAGATACTAGTGATCAGATTATTATGACAGCAACTGGATTGGAAAATTTAGATCCAGGGAGGTTTGTAATGGGAACTGTGGAGGATGCTTCAGCCACTGGTCAGTGCATGGAAACTGGAATGGAAGCCTTAGGAACTGACCAGGTTGTCATTGGAAATGAAACAGAACCAATGACAGCTGCTCAAAGTTATTTGGAACCTGGAATGACAGCTGGAATAGCGCCAGTGACAGCTGCTCAGATTGGCATGGGAGATGGGGATGAAAACATGGTTCATCATCAGGTTATTATGGGAACTACCGTGGAAATGATGGGATCTGATCAATTTGCTATGGCAACTGGAGTCGAAACCATGGTTACGAATGAGGTTCCCATGGATACAAATTATGTTGCTATGTCTGAAAATGTAGTTGCTATGTCACTTGATGAACAATACAATCAAGATTTTCAGCAAGTTATGTTTGAAGAAGAGATTGTTAGTGTTGCGGAAAATGTGGAAATTTAGCGAGAACAATGCTATTATAGGTGGAATAATTGGGAACACGGAATAAAAATTCCTATAAACTTTAAAGTGCTTCAAACTTTATTTAATAAATTAATGAATTTTTGCATAAAGATCTAAATGTGGCAGCAGAACATCTTGAAAAGAACTTGCAGAAATTGATAGAATATGGTGGTGCTAGTATTTGTGAACAACTTGTGGATTTAAACGTGCAGTTATTTTTTGTATAAATAACTATGGACATGGTTTTTAAAACTGTGACATTTGTAAAGCGATAAAATATGTTCAGCAACAGATGTATGCTAGTGATACTCGTTTTGTGACTGGATACAGATCATATTCTGTACAAATAAAACTTAACAATAGTGGCTTGATTATATATTTTCATATAAATAATGAGTGAATTGTTTTCTGAATGGGTGGATGTTTTGGTGATCATATTATGAAAGATGTTTAGTTCTATTTTTAAAGTGTACATTGTATAATTATTATTATAATTTTGAATGATTGAGAGTGACAAACATAGGGCTATCGAGTTTGAAATTAAAAATGGTTCAGGACTTGATTTAAATGTGTAGATCGTTAGTGCTGGGTTTTGCCACTGTGGTCACGATACGTATTGCGATTCAGGTACTACAATACGATTCGATTCACGATTCATAACCAGGTCAATATTTACGAAGGAAAAAACAGGATAAATGAATAATTAATATTTTTAGTCCTGTCGATGTCGAAGAAATAAAACTGTTTTATAACACGATATTGTTTTGGATCAAAATAAGGACCAGAACAATTTAAGAGTGTTTGTGTACCTGTGGATAATGTGTGATGTGGATAATTAGAAGTGACAGGTTACATGTACATTTACCTACTAGAGCAACCAAAAAAACATAAAAAAGAATCATGATACACCGATTCAGCGTCTCGCGATTTAATACGCAAATTGTAAGGTGAATCACGATAAATCGGTTCAAAGATATATCGTGCCAGCACTAATGTGTAGATCGTGTGGTATTCGTCCCTAACCTCCAGGCCTGGAAATAATGACCTGATGTCTGGCGCGAATGAACTAGTTCCTGACATTTTGAACTTTGTGTGAGATGTGTATTAATAAAGAAAACTGAAAAAAGACAAATGGTGACGATTGTAATGGTACAAACTCTAGGAGTTCTGCTAGACACTTTCTGTGACAGGTGCAGCCCAATTTCCATTGATCTGGGGGAGGGGTTGAATGGCCGAATGGTTATATTGCGTGTGCGCGTTGTATCATAAAGTCAACTGGTGTGGTTTCGAATCCCCGGTTGTACGTGACAAGGAGTAGGGTCACCTGTCCAACCTCGTGGTTTTTCTCCTGGTCCTCCGGTTTCATCCCACTGCTAAAGACCCCTACACGCAAGCGAATTATTGAAATAAAATTGAGCCATGTGTTAGTCCCGAAATGACCTAGTTCGTGTCGAGTGGATGTTAAACCCAATTTCTCTCTTTGTCTCCATTGATCTGTATTCAATTTCAGGATCACAAATTACATAACAATTAACCGAATACAGAAGAATAAGTCTTGACTTGATAATAATGAGGTTTCGGACACTATGACGAGTCCGAAATGTTGCGTGACTGAAATGTTCTATAATCATCTATATAGTAACAGATTCAAAGGTGTGTTATCACAGGTGATTGTCACAGTTGATAGAACAAGCGCCACGAATCAGGCCTGTAGTTAGCGTTGGGGGGCAGCCCAACCAATGTCACTCAGCTTCATGGGACGCCCATACTAATATGGGCACATTGGTCGTTGGCTTCGTATTGCGTCCAATGGAAAAGGCACGATTCAGCACCATGGGTAGGCAGCTACCCCCTTTGCCCACCCCACCCCCCACCCCCACTAGCCACGGGCCTGCAAATGCCAGGACAAATGTCTAAAAAAATTTCAATAAGATAATACGATATTCTGTATATACATGTATACTCTAGCCAAGATAAACCCCTTGGTATATATGATATTCTGTATATACATATATACTCTAGCCAAGATAAACCCCTTGGGATATACGATATTCTGTATATACATATATGTATACTCTAGCTAAGAGTGTTTAACATGAGAAGCCTGTACATTGTACATACATTAAGAGAAAATGTCATATGTAAATACAAGATATATTTTATAGTCGATGTAAAATATATTAAGAAATTTACCTGTTGTTTTTGTAATATACAGGTACATCTATGTACCTGAAATGAATAAAGGTACATCAATGTACCTGAAATAACAAATCAAGTGCTTACTAGAAGGAACCAATTTTTAATATTTGACCCGCAAAATGAGTTGGAACTCGCAAGTCTTTAACTATATGAATGAACAAATATATTAAAATAGGCTGAAATATGTTTTTAATAATATAATAACACGAAATGTAAAAGTGTAGATTTGACAATTAAACAAATTTTGAAATGTATTTGTAGCCTATTTTAAGATTATTATAGGCCCACATTGTTGCTGTGGATATATGTTTTGTTGCCAAGCGACCTATCTTTGTTCATACATGTACGTCGTAAACAATGACTTGCGTCTTACAACTGATTTTGCTGTCATGGGTCACTTATTTTTGATTTACCCTTCTTTGTAAAATTCATATTTGTGTTCTTTCAATCACGTTCTTAAATATATTTTAAAGCTGCATGAACATTATGTATTTAAAAAGACTTAAAGGTGCATTATGTAAGAGCTAAATCTGCCCATTAAAGATGCATTATGAAAGAGATATATCTGTCTATTGCAATTCTTTTTTCTAGATTCAAATGTTATATAAATTATTATTAACATGGCAAAGCTATATTTTGTGAAAACTTGAAACACATAACTTTGTACAGAATAAAGTAATTTGAATAAAATTTTCAATATATTCATTTTTCATTATCTATTTTGGTACTATTATAGCAAGGACGGTCAGATCTTTATCTAAATCTTACATAATCGATCTTTAAGGTCAAACTGTAATATATTATTATTATTTAATGTTGATCTTCACGACTCCACCTTAGCTTGTAGGATCTCAACAAATGTAAACGATTTTTGAAGTAGTCTTGAATATTGGGTAAAATGAAGTGCCAGAGGAAGAAAAATCTAAGTCACATTTTTGTCTTTTCGCATAAAACGCAAAACCCAACTTTGAAACCTGATGGAAGAGAAGGCTTGACGCATCTGGGACGGTGAGGATTTGGATCGTTCTCGACCAGAAGGCCATTTCAGAAGTGCCCTGGTTCGATGTGACTCTGTTCATTTTCACCTGAAATCAATTGTTCCACAGAAAGCTTATACAATTTGCTACCAGATGGCGCCATTAACTGGGGTTCATGGAAAACATGACTTAGATCATTCTTCCGCTTAGCTCTTAAAATTTATATTTTTATATCTGATGTTAGGAGCTGTATTTGTACAGTGTATGTAAATAATGTTAATGTTATATACAAAGTCTCCACACAAACATTGTATGTAGGTACCTAATGAGAGTTATCTTATCTTGGCTATCATTGAAACGAAATACATACTACCGGTACTTTACTTCTAATTAATATATGCATGAAAATGTGGCCAGTTCCAAATTTGGCACACAGTGGCAGTGAGGATCATAATCAGCTTATCTCATTACCTGTTTGGGCTCAACAACAGTTATCCAGTGGGGAATCAAAGATACTGATTCTTGGTAAAATCATCATCCCAATTGGGCAGCTGTCCAGGCAAAATTCTCCCCTTTGCAGCATTGCTATTATTATTATTAATATTGTTCGATTTATATAGTGCTTCATTACACATGAGTGTTTCTAAGTGCATTCACTACAAAACAATTCAAAAACATTTTTGAAATGGAGAGCACTATTACATACAGCTGCCTGTTAGGCACCACTACAGGGTCAGCAATTGCTATGAAAAATGAAACTTGCCATGTGTATCTTTCATGATGGGAATCCACATGTAAATTACATGCATACCTCACTCGGCAAACCTCGGCAGATTCCGTTACTCTACATCTAGCTAGATGTAGGGTACTGGAATCTGCTGAGGTTTGTCAGTGAATTATACCTAACACAGTGTAAATTCTGGAGACAGCAGATAACAAAATGTTCAGCTGCAATGTATATATTGAGCATTATCATACAATCATGTATATCTAGTATTTGTTAATTCTCATGTTCCTAGTTCTAAAATTGGTTATTTAATTCATTAATTCATTGGTCAAGCTTTATTTGTTCATGTTTGTTCTCAATTATTCATTCATTCCTTATTTAATGTTTACTGATTAGTTTGTATATGAAATATGTTCTACTTGGCAATTATGTCGGGCATTCCGGGCTGTTAGTTTTTAACAATATAAGATTGGATAAAGACCTAGTCTGAAAATACTGGGATCAGAACTCAGTTTTAATAGAAATGAAATGGGGTTTAACTCCAACTTCGACTGGTTTAAGGAAGACAGGCATATGCTATACAGTTTAATTTTGTACAGACTTTTGTAGGACTTCGACTTTATGGTCTGCTCTTATAATATATTGAATTCCAGCTGCCAAACGTTCTTTTACTTTCACGCCAATGTTTACACAGGACCATTCGGTGCAGAAAAGTAGGATATTAAACCCCATTTCATTTTCATTACCTGAAGCGGTGTCATCAAATGCCGATCTTTTTTTGTATTTTATTAATCACCATTTACCCCACCTGCACAAGACAGTCCGATCAATTCTAGACTAGATAGGAAGTACATGTAGTGTCATCTGCATGTAAATTAATCACAATTTATCCCAAGAGAGGGGGGTTACGGTGGGTAAGATGCTGGCTCGCTAGCCTGGATGTCGAGTGTTCGGTCCCTGCATTGGCCGAGCAAGTTCATCCAGATTTCCCGGCGTGGTTCTCCCTTATCAGGACAGAGGGCCTGGGAAGGACAGCTGTCTAGTCGCTCGGATGGGACGAAAAAACCGAGGTCCCATGTACACATTGGCCTGCGTTGGAATTCGATATAAGAGTAGGCCGTAGTGCAGCTGTCCGGGCAAAATTTCCCTCATAGCACTCTGTATAGCGTATGCCCGTCTTCATTAACCCAGTTCGGAGCAGAACAGTAGGACGTTAAACCCCATTTCATTTCATTTATCCCAAGAGACCCAGTCAAATCAATTCTAGACTAATTAAAGAAATAGTTTTTCCAGGAAATTATTCACCCTTTACTCCACCTGCACAAGATCTAGTCAATTCCAGACTAAATAAAGAGATAGTTTTATCAGGAAGTCTATCTGACTATTCTAGACTCAATAAAGAGATAGTTTTATCAGGAAGTCTATCTGACTATTCTAGACTAAATAAAGAGATAGTTTTATCAGGAAGTCTATCTGACTATTCTAGACTAAATAAAGAGATAGTTTTATCAGGAAGTCTATCTGACTATTCTAGACTAAATAAAGAGATAGTTTTATCAGAAAGTCTATCTGACTATTCTAGACTAAATAAAGAGATAGTTTTATCAGAAAGTCTATCTGACTATTCTAGACTAAATAAAGAGATAGTTAGTTTTATTAGAAAGTCTATCTGTATGTAATAAATCACCATTTACTCAACATGCACAAGACCCAGTCAAATCAAAGCTAGACTAAATAGAGAGTTAGTTTTTCCAGGAAATTAATCACCCTTTACTCCACGTGCACAAGACCCAGTCCAGTCAGTTCTAGACTAAATATAGAGAAAGTTTTATCAGAAAGTCTATCTGATTGTAATAAATCACCATTTACCCCACATGCACAAGACCCAGTCCAGTCAGTTCTAGACTAAATTAATAAATAGTTTTATCAGGAATCTATCTGTCTATTGTTATATACCCTAATATATTGTATAATTGCTGATGTAAATAAAAACATATAGTTTCACTGGTTTACATGTTGACTGTATAAAGTTGTTCAGAATGTATTAATTAAAATTATCAAATTTGAATTCTGTGTTTTTATGTTGTATGATGAGGGGGTTGGGTGACCGGATGGTTTAACAAGTGGGCTTTAGATTATAATAAGGTCTGTCGTTGAGTCAAGTGGCATGGTTTTGATCTTGTTCTTTAATTTAGGGGGGTTGGATGGCCGAATGGTTGGCACGCGCGCACTGTATCATACGGTCTGTCATTGAGACAACTGGCGGGGTTTCGATTCCCCGGTTGTACAAGCCAAGGAGTAGGGTTGCCTGTCCAACCTCGTGTGTTTTCTCCGGGTCCTCCAGTTTCCTCCCACTGCTAAAGACCCCTACACGCAAGTGAATTATTGAAATAAAATTGAACCATGTGTTAGTCCCAAAATGACCTAGTTTGTGTCGAGTGGACGTTAAACCCCATTTCTCTCTCTCTCTCTGTTCATGAATTTAAAAAATATTTCTGAATGGGATTGTATTTAACCCTTGTGCACTTTGACCATCCCATAACATGCACAGCTGTCACAACCACACAAATTAGTGAATAGTTCTATAATAGAGAAAGATATTTACATATATCCTGCCCCTGAGTTCACAAAGCATTCTCAGACATGAATTTACTCAACTTTCAATCACTGTTTATGATAAATATCTTTGATCCAGAAACACAAAACTTTGCACATAGTTTCTTATTGATGTATTTGATTCATTAAAACAACAAAAGTTTTATAAAGGGCTATATTTTAGTTAAAATAAAGCACACAATTTTGAGTAAATTCTTAACTTAAGCCTAAGAATGCTTTGTGAACTCAGGGCCCGGTGTTTCGAGACAACAGTTTCAGTCTATCCAGGATTATATTAGTATTAATATATCACTTTTATCCAATTTTCTTCAATGAACTACAGTAGTCATTATTTACATTCAACAAGTACTAAAGGGTTAACTTGGGTAGTCTTATATTTACATGTACCAAGTACTAAAGGGTTAACTGGAGTAGTCAGTATTTACATGTACCAAGTACTAAAGGGTTAATATCCACTTTCACCAAGGGTCATATAGCAGACATGTACCAGGTCTATTCTTACTGGAATCGATTCTTACAGGGAGCCATGGTGGCTAAGTGAGTAAGACGCTGGGTCACTCCCGATGTTGGCCGAGAAAGTTCATCAAGATTTTCCGGCGTGGTTTCCCATTGTCACTGGTGCAGGAAGGAGGGCCGACAAGGACAACTGTCTAATCATTCAAATGGAACGAAACACTGAGGTCCCTTGTACACATTGCCTTAAGTTAATGTCTGGCTTTTTTGTCTTGGGAACAAAAACTTTGAACAAATATCAAGTCAGTCTGATGATCACTTCAGTTGATCTAGTTAAATGGGGAATGGACAATATACCACCTTTCAAGGTGAGCGTATAAAAAATAGGGTGCTTGCATGAATAATGGGCATTATGGAGATAAATGAATCCACATTTAGGGTTGGATGAATGTTTAAAAAGAGTTTTACAAATTTCCGATAATTACTATATTTATACGCCCACATGGAGAGAGAGAGAGAAATGGGGTTTAACGTCCACTCGACACAAACTAGGTCATTTCGGGACTAACATATGGTTTAATTTTATTTCAATAATTCGCTTGTGCGTAGGGGTCTAAGCAGTGGGAGGAAACCGGAGGACCCGGAGAAAACCCACGAGGTTGGACAGGCGACCCTACTCCTTGCCACGTACAACCAGGGATTCGAAACCACGGCAGTTGACTCAATGACAGACTTTATGGTACAGCGTGCACGTGCTAACCATTCAGCCATCCAAACCCCCCCCCCCCCCCCCGCCCACATGGAAATGTGGTCGTATATTGCCGTCGCCCCCGTCCGTCTGTCGGTCGATCTATCGACAATTTCTTGTGAACACTCTACAGACTACATTTATTTTCGTTGTTGCTCTTGAACACTTTTATCTAGGCTAAAAGAAAATCACAATCTTTATCCAATTCTCCAATGATGTACCTGTGGTAGGTGTGTGTTTTGTTGCCTGGCAACCTATATTTTTTTTTTACAAAAGTGCTAACTGTTCAACCATTATGATAGAAGGTTATGTAGTGCGAGACGTTTGATCAGACAAGATTTTTAGGTGGAAGAGGGGGGAAATTCCCCACTGTCAATGTTACTAGTGTACACATCTATTTCAGGAAGATATAACTTATATTGGAGTGGTTCTCCTAGTCAGTGGTGCAGAACAGAGGATGTGGCAAGGGACAATATATATGTATAGTCGTTCGGATGGGACCAAAAACCGAGGTCCCACGTACACAATGTCGTGCACATAAAGGAACCTGTGACAGTTGGAATTTGTAGCGCCGCTGCCCAGGCAAAATTTCCCTCACAGCACACTGTATGGCGTAAGCCTGTCTTCATTAGCCCAGTCGGAGCAGAACATTAGGACGTTAAACCCCATTTTATTTCATTACTTATAATAATTTAGCGTTTTAAAACAAATAACTAACAAGTTTTAAAACAAATAACTAACAAGCCGGGGCCCTGTTTCAGGAAATTTTAACAAAAGATAAAATCCAAATTTTAGTAGATACTTCAATTTTGATTGGCTAAGCACTAAAATCAATCTAATATTATCCAATCAAATTACTAAAATTTGGATTTTATCTTAGTTAAAATTTCGTGAAACAGGCCCCAGATCATTTACAATAGGTTTATTTGTGGGAAAATGAAAAAGTCTATGTGTGTAGAAGTGCTCTTTATCAGCAGATACATCAATACGCATTCTGGACACAGAGATCCATCTACTTCATACTACGAGAATAGATCTCTGCCCTAAATGGTCGCCATATCCAAAAGTTAGTATACCTTTTTGTAATGCGGTTCTACTCCGTTTCACATCTGTCATACACACAAACACAAAATAAACTTTTTAAATTTTATTAAATGGACGTAGAGTAAATACTTAACAAAATTCTCAAAGTATACTTAGTGATTTCGACTAAAATCGTCGATTTATGACTTAAAATGTCGGTCAACTAGCTTAGTGTCTGTTCTCAAGCGGAGCTAATTGTAGACAGGCAGCCTATGTTCAGTATAATTAAGATATTCACTAGTTACACTATCAATAAGTCTATTTTTAGAAGTAGATACAGTGAAATGATATTTATTCTGTGAAAAACAATTGTAAAATTGGGCTGGTGGGAGTGGTAGGAATGTTGCTGCCTTTACTGTAGAGTTACTCCCCTTTTGTTCCTCTCACATCATATCCAACTGAAATAGAGTAAATGAAAAGTATCATTCGGCACACCTCGGTTGTATCCAGAATTCTCTCATTGGACTTACTTTCAAGTTCCTGGCGCCCATGAAGATGTCTGTGCAAGGTATTGAGGCTTAGTGCCATCGAAATTAGAATCACTTTTGCAAACATGAACATTTTTGCACGCTACACAATGACCTTATGTATATCTAGCTTATGCCAAGTGAAACAGGCCCCTGGCATCATAATGGATCCTTTTGCCACTGGTATTTGGGGATGAACCATTGGCAAGAAAAAAAAATTGGGTTTAACATCCACTCAACACAGACTAGGTCATTTTGGGATTAACATATGGTTTTATTTTTTTTCAATAATTCACTTGCGTGTTGGGGTCTTAAGCAGTGGGAGGAAAATGGAGGACCTGGAAAAAAACCCACGAGGTTGAACAGGCTACTCCTTGTCACTGACTCAATGAAAGCTCTTGCGATCCAACACACACACATGTTAACCATTCGGCCCCCCACGTGGTAAACCACTAGACCACCCAACCATAGCCCCCCACCCTACCCTTGTCTCAAAATGACAAAATGTTCCCATGGAAACTAAACAAAATATATTTACCAAATCATCTGCATCATCTTCTGGTTCCATTTTTGTTTCTTCTTCAACTTTAACGTCTGTCATGAAGGCGTTTGCGTCTGCTTTTGAGATTTTACTAGATTCACATTCCATCTTAGATATTAAACCTTGTTTATCTAAATAACACAAAAATAACATGTAATTTTACTACATGTATATTCAAACTCCATTTTAGATACAACCAGCGGCTGCCAGGCAGGATACGCCCACATTTTGCAAGAGATGGATAGAGAACAAGCTAAACAAAAAGCAATTTCTCGTACAATCAAGGGCCATAATTCAGGAATTTATGATCCGATATGCACGAATATCAACAGAATCTAAGATCTTTGGGTTATAAACATGCATTCCAAGTGTCATCAAAATCAGATCAAAATTGTGACCTCTAGAGTATCCACAAGCTAAAAATGTGATTTTTTGTACAATCAGGGGCCATAATCCATGAAGTTATGGTCCGATAAGTTTTGTCAAAATCGAATAAAAATTGTGACCTGTAGAGCGTGCACAAACAAATTGTGGACGGACATCATGTTAAAGAACCCTTGTCTGTTGGAATTCGATATAAGAGTAGGCTATAGCCCACCGGTCCAGGCAAAATATACCCGTCTTCATTAGCCCAGTCGATGCAGAAAAGTAGGACGTTAAACCCCATTTCTTTTGTGGTTTACGAATGAAGACAAACATCTTACCTATAACAATTTGATCCCAGAAATCTCTCTTTCCTTTACTGATTAATATGTCTTTAAAATCTTTAATGAAATTATTATATGTCTCTGGTTTGGATTTCTGAAATAATAAAATTATGTTACAAATACATAATTATTTTAGGCCATCTAAAGGTCAATCTGATTCAAACACAGTTCTTATTTCGTTTTGTTTTTTTATAGTTGAAAATTTTGTTTTACTTGTCTTTACTACACTAGTATCTGGGGCCTGTTTCACGAAAATTTAACTAAAGATAAAATCCCAATTTTAGTAGATACTTCAATTTTGATTGGCTAAGAACTAAAATCAATCTAATATTATCCAATCAAATTACTAAAATTTGGATTTTATCTTAGTTAAAATTTGGTGAAACAGGCCCCAGGAAGAGTTATATAACAGGCGTTCTACTTGATGTGAGGCATTAGCCGATGAAACAGTCTGTTACGGCCAGTTGTTGGATTTTTTATGCACAGAACTGTGGGTAAACCACTAGAAACTTCGACGCTGATTGATTAATCAATGTCTGACGTCATAGGGTCAAAATCTGCTCGTATTACCTCTGATGCGACCTATCGCCACAACTGGTCAGATCTTCATGTAGTGTAGGTCATCGAAAGTATAAAAAATGAAACGAAATATAGATCTGTATTATAATCAGATTGTATAAAAGAAATATTCTGGTTCTCGGGTAATCCTGTGGTAGCTCAGTGAGTTGGACATTGGCTTGCTAACATGGCGGTCCCGTGGTCGATTCCTGAATTGCCCGAGAATGTTTGTCCGGATTTTCCGGTGTGGTTCCTCCTTGTGGGTCATGTAGGACGGAAGGGTGGCAAGGGACAACATATAGTCATTTGGATGGGAAGAAAAACCAAGGTCCTGCGTACACATTGGCTTGCAAGTAAAAGACTAAGCCTCGATTCACCGTTTTTAAATTATGTGTTTATATAATATCTGAAACCAAAGGAAAGATCTGCAATATAACAGGGCTGCCGACAGCCAGTATCGCAGCTCAATTTGCGATACATATTTTGTCCGTTGCTAACCAAAAATTAAAATCTAATGTTTTTGATTCGCAGTTACTGCGAATCATTAATATGCCTGTCATTTTGGATATTGACACAAGAATAATCCACATTTTGAAGACTAGAAGGCTTACTCAACACTTTCAACGTGTATAAAATGTTGAATAAAATTTTATAAACAAAACTGAATTCTCCGTGTGACATTTTCTTCTCGAACTACCAAGACACAATACTATATAACACAGGGACATAACTCTATGAATAGGGACTTTTAAACCGGAAATAGAGAATCAAGTAGTATCACTCACGTTGCGAGACATCAAGTAATTATATCATATTCATTTTGAAAGAAATAAATCCAGTGTATCCCCCACGTATTGTAAATAAAATATAAAAAAATAAATACATGTTAACGTATTGTAAAATGATAAATCAAAGTAAAAATTCCCATAAAATATTATTTTTTATATCGCGTGTGTCTAGTTAATCGAGGTGCGCCCGATTGAACAAAAATAGTAATACACGATAAAAAGCAGACGAAATTGTTTTCTAACGAAGATTTCTAACGTAACAAAAAAATAATAATTAAAATGAGTGGGGCTTCGGAAGTCACTGTCAAGAATTGGCTTCAGACATAAGACCTAACTAAATGTCTACATCACATTCACAAACTGTCACAAGTACTTGTGGAAGCGCTAAAAAATCTAAGAATAGTCAGAATGGAATCTAATCATATTTGTTATGAATTAAAGTAATATCTTGTTATTTAGGTGTTTTAGTTGAAACTGAAAAACTGCTAATCAATTTTTAAATTTGCTAATCAAATTTGGCAAAATTGGACTTTTTGATTAGCAGTGCTGCTAATCAACTGTGAAAAATTACCGACAGCCCTGCAATATAAAGATTTAGTTTTGACATATGTGACCTATCACATCGAAATGGACAGTAAGTAGCAATTTAAGCACATTCCTTGGGTTCCAGGCTTCATATCATGATCGATGGTAGAGATATTGCCAAACACATCAAGGTCAATTGGAGAGAATTTTAAAGATAGGTTGCCAGGCAAGGAAACATACGCCAGCAGCAGCTAAATCGTCCAAGCGGTCAACAAGAATTGTCGCACATCTATTCTTTTGTAGGTAATAGGGTCATTTACAAGACAATTTCATACAGATCAGATTATAATTTTCATCATTTGAGGGTTTACAAGGTTCTGCAAAATGAAACAAGGGCCTTAACTCTGCAGTAATTAACAGGAAATGTTGAAGTTCAATAGGCTTCTTCTTTTCACTAATTTAAATGGCGCATATATATTTCATACAGATCAGATGATAACTTTTGTTGTTCAAGCATTCACATGGTTCAACAAAGTGAAACAAGGGCCATAACTCTAGAAGTAATTAACAGAAATTGCTGAAATTCAATAGGCTTCTTTGTTTCAATAATTTAAATGATGCATATAAATTTCATACGGGTCGGATCAAATGTTAACTTTTGGCATTAGAGCGTTCACAAGGTTCAAAGTGAAACAAGGGCCATAACTCTAGACATAATAAACGGAAATTATTGAAATTAAATAGGCTTCTTCATCTCACTAATGTAAACCACATATATTAATTTTAAAACAACTGGATGATAACTTTTGGCGTTAGAGCGTTCATTGTTGACGATGGACGGACGGCAATATACGTCCACATTTCTATGTGGGCGTATAAAAATGGTTAAAATGAAGTTTTTTCTTACTTTAATACATTCAGCTCTATATGCTTTAACACAATCACTCGCCTTCCCATAAAACTGAGTTCCAAATGAATCCATTACAATTTGTTCTATTCTCTTCTCCATTTGACCACAAGCTGCAAAAACGAAAGAAATGAAATGAAATGAAATGGGGTTTAACATCCTACCGTTCTGCTCCGAACTGGGCTAATGAAGACGGGCATACGCCATACAGTATGCTATGAGGGAAATTTTGCCCGGACAGTGGCACTAGGGCCTACTCTTATATTGAATTCAAACTGTCAAGGGATCTTTAACGTGCACACCAATGTGTACAGGGGACCTCTTTTTTTTTGTCTCATCCGAACGACTAGCCCTCTAGATACAGGGATCGAACATCCGACCTCCAGGCTAGCAAGCCAGTGTCTTATCTGTGACCACAAGCTGCAAAGATAGGTTGCCAGGCAACGAAACATACGCCCACAGCAGCTAAATTGTCCAAGCATTTGATAAGGGTTGTCAAATATTTATTCTTTTGTAGGTAACTGGGGCATTTACAAGACAATTTCATACAGATCAGATTATAATTTTTGTCGTTTGAGGAGTCACAAGGTTCTACAAACTGAAACATAAGCCTTAACTCTGGAAGTAATTTACAGAAAATTTTGAAATTTGTCAGACTTTTTAATTTTACTAATTCAAATAATACATATAAATTTCATACAGATCGGATGATGACCTTTGTCATTCAAACATTCGCAAGGTTCAGAAAGTAAAACAAGGGCCATAACTCTAGAACTAATTGCAAGGTTCAGAAAGTAAAACAAGGGTCATAACTCTAGAAATAATTGACGGAAATTGATGAAATTGATTTAAACACATTCACAAGAGCTTTAAATTGAAACCTCGCTCGAACTGGAAGCCAATGGAGTTTCTGTAACTTAGCTGACATTGTTATGCACTATTTGTAGTCTGTTTAAAGCTGTTTCTGGTGCTCCTAATAGAAGCGAATATGCGATATTACAAGACCAGGTCATTAGGAATATTTCTTCTATATTATTGGTCATACAAAAACATAATGTGGAACACAATTACTATTTTAATTAAAGCAACGTTTTTGTATAACATATGTCAATTGCTAAATGCTGCTCAAAGAAGATATTATTGGTCCTTCATTTAACGTCCACTCAACACAAACCAGGTCATTTCCAGACTAACAATTAATAATTCGATCGTGTTTGAACAGGCAATCCTACTCCTTGTCATGTACAAGCGGGGAATCGAAACCAAACCATTTGTCCCAATGACAGACCTTAGGATCTAAAGCGCGAACCTAAACCATTGCGCTACCCAAGTCCCTATAAAATCTATAAATCAGTGTTACCTTTATCAAACAAGTCTTCATCTTTATCCGATAAAAGAGTTTGAAAATCTTCTATAGGTGATACCGTTCCTACCTAGAAACAAAATTATTTTACAAATAAAGAAATCATTAAAGAAGGCCACAAGGTTGAACAGGTGACCCTACTCCTTGTCACATACAACCGAGGAATCGAAACCACACCAGCTGACTCAATGACAGACCTTATGATACAACGCGCAAGTGTTAACCATTCGGCCACCCAGGCCCCCCAAATTCAATAAGAATCTAAACACTACTGTAAAATAAGAAATAATTGTTTCAGTAATAAGCAGTAATTGTTCTTCCATAAGTATGTGTTATAGTTTATTGCTCTATCCAGTTACTAAATGCCTCTAAAAGATCAGTAATTGTATTCCATAGAATTTTGACCTGTTTAATGAAATTACTTTATAATAAAATCAATACGTAATAAAGGGTTTTAAGTTTACCTCCGTTATTCTAGCTCTAGCTATATTCTCCATACCACCTTCTAAATCATCATCTAATTTCTGTTTCTTTACAGCGGGTCCGTCACCTTCACCTCTAAAATAGAGATAGAAATGGGGTTTAACATCCACTCCACACAAACTAGGTCATTTTGGGACGACACCTCTATAATAACAATATCATACTTTTAAATACTTAAATATTCGTTCTAGCCGTGGACTAAAATCTGATACAAATACAGATCCTTTTTAGTTTCGTTTTTTATAGTTCAAAATTTCGTTTTACTTGTCTTTACTACAATAGGATCTGTTATTAAAAGATTATTCACAAGAAAAGCCCATAATCAACACTCTAGGCCAGTGATTCTCAACCAGTGTGTGCCGCGAGATCTTCCTAAGTGTGCCGCAAAATTTTAAACAGCACACTTAGAAAATTTCTCACTAAAGAAGTCAGCTATTTGATTGATGAAATTCGAAACACTGCAATAAAGTTTGATTGATGAAATTAGGAACACTGTAATAAATTAAGTTCATAGCTGTGTTTTTCTTAATTTAGTTTGATTTATTCTGTTTCTATGACTATGTCGTATACGGTTGTATGCCGTCTGACTTACCGTGTTTTTATTTTGCAAAATTCAAATATTTTTCATATATATTTAGCCAGGTGTGCCGCTATTCTTTCATGTGTTCCAATGTGTGCCGTTGGCATAAAAAGGTTGAGAACCACTGCTCTAGGCCATCGGGTGGCTTCGATTTTAAGTAGTGTGGGCGTCTAAATAAATCTTTAAGTTCAAAATTTTGATTTACTTGTCTTTACTACACGAGGATCTTGAAGAGTTGTTATTAAAACATTTATTCACATGAAAAGCCCATTATCAACACTCTAGGCCATCGGGTGGCTTCGATTTTAACCCCTTAACTGCATAGTTTTTAAAACGTTAACTACCCCCTATTGTGTAATTAATTTGACGAAAAACGTCATTTTTGGACCTTTTTATTCCCGAATACAAATTTTAGTAGTCTCAACCCATATTAAAACTAACAGTAAATAGAGTTGTCTCCCTTCAATTAGATTTCCTCGACCAGGCGTAATATAACGTCCTACACATGCTGTGTTCGTGTTCGAAGAATAGGTTGGGGAAAATACCTCCAGGGCGTTATATTATGTCCTACACACGGTGAGTGGCAGTTGTCCAGGACGTTATATAAGGCCCTACGCAGTTAACAGGTTAAGTAGTGTGGGCGTCTAAATAAATCTTACTTTTCACTAAATAATGCCTCTCCTGATTGATCCTCTTTCTTTTTGGCCACAACTTCTAATTTAAATACTTCACTAATATTATCTAGTATCTTTTCACTTCGTCTCTCTATCTCTTCTGGCCGTTTTAAATAGGATGCTATGAGAGGAGATAACTCAGGAAGGCCTTCGTCTGGTTTCAAGGCCCTATGTAACAGGCACTGAAATTTAATAGACAATCATTCAAGGGAGATGAAGAGATAAATGGGGTTTAACGTTCATGCCACTCAAACTAGGTCATTTTGGGACTAACATTTGGTTAAATTTTATTTCAAAATTTCACTTGCGCGTTGGGGTCCTTAGCTTTGGGAACAAACTGGAGGACCCAGAGAAAACTCACGAGGTTGGTCAGATGACCTACTCCTTGTCAAGTAAAAGTGTGGAATTTAAACCACACCAGTTGACTCAATGGCAGACCTTATGATACAACACGGGCACGCTAACCATTCGACCATCCAACCTCCTTTTATAATAATGAAATGGGGTTTAACATCGTTCTGTACCGTCTGGGCTAATGAAGATGGGCATACCCCATGCTGTGTGATATGAGGGAAATTTTGCCTATTCTTATTTTGAATTCCAACTGCAAAGAGTTCTTTTACATGGTCCCTAATGACCAAAAGTATCTCAAAACTGAACTTTTTAATCAAATATGCAACTGATTGAATAAGTTCTAGCTGTGTTTGTGTCAGACTTTTACCATGTGTACTAAATAATGTTCTTCGTATTTTGTTTATGTCTTTTTTATGGATTCATGTGTTGTGATTGCTGTAATTTTATATTAGTTGTACTTATGTAAAGCGCCCGGGAGCAGCTCACTGAGTTGAATTGTTGGCGCTATATAATTCAATTATTATTATTATTATTATTATTAAGGATAAAATAACTGATACTAGATATTTACCTGATAAAGACGTTGAAAATAAGGATTGAAAGTGTACTTAGGTTTTAAAATCTCTTCACTATTATCATCACTAAAATAAAAAAAAATTTCATCTTAAGTTTATATAGATATTACGTAATGAAATAAAGCGCAAAAATGACTCATAATAGATGGCTATTTACATGTACCTAGGCTTTGAAAATAAGGATTAAACAAAATTTTATCTAAAGTTTATATAGAGACTAGCGGATGACCCCGTGCCGCATGGTTCAGTTATGTTTCAATAATTCGCTTGTGCGTAGGTGTCTTTAGCAGTGGAAGGAAACCGGAGGACCCGGAGAAAACACACCAGGTTGGACAAACAACCCTACTCCTTGTCACGTAGAACCGGGGAATAAAAACCACGCCAGTTGACTCACTGACAGACCTTATGATACAACGCGCGTTATCCATTTGTCCACACACGCTCCCCCCCCCACCCAAAAAATATATATGAATATAATTACTAACTCTTCCTTTTTTGACAGATCCATAGCCGTAATTAGATCATCCATGACCTGCAACTGTTCACCTGAAAAAAAAAAACAACAGATAATTTGTTTTCAACACTAAAGCTACACTAATTTAATTTCCTGTTGTTCGGAGAGAGAGAGAGAGAGAGAGAGAGAGGGAGAGAGAGAGAGTGAGATGGGGTTTAAGATGGGATTAGGTCATTTCGGAACTAACACATTGTTAATTTTATTTCAATATTTCTCTTGCGCGTAGGGGTCTTTAGCAGTGGGAGGAAACCGGAGGACCCAGAGAAAACCCACGAGGCTGGACAGGCGACTCTACTCTTTGTCACGTACAATGAGCAAGCGAATTATTGAAATAAAATTGGACCATGTGTTAGTCCCAAAATGACCTGGTTTGTGTCGAGTGGACGTTAAATCCCATTTCTCTCTCTCTCTCTCTCTCTCTCTCTCTCTCTCTCTCTCTCTCTCATCTGAATTAAAAGACAAATTTATTTTCAACATTTGGTAAATATGAAAAGAAAATAATATGAATATCAAAAAATATTTGTAAAGAAATACCTGTAGGTTTAAACTTTTTATTGGTAACAGCGTCGTCTGTTAATGGTAAAGAACCAAATGTAAACATTCGTATATCTTCCCTAAACGGTAACTCTATCCAATATAAACACTGAAAAAAAACCAAAAAAAACAAATGAAAAATTAACACAGAATTAATTCCTCTGAAAAAGTATTAATTTTTAAAAGAGAGAGAGAGAGAGAGAGAAATAGGATTTAACAAAACAAATAAATGGGGTGGTTGCTATGTGATTTTGTTTTGGAACATATCCACATTTTTAACTTGCTTTTTCTCAAAACTTCTTTTTCTGACTTGGGTAACTTCAAACGAATATAGCTTAGTCAGTTTTTGCTTGATTCAAACAGGAGCCACAGTGGCTAATTGGGTAAGACGCTGGCTCACTAGCCTGGAGGTCGCGTGTTCGATCCCTGCATTGGCTGAGAAGGCTCATCAGGATTTTCTGACATGGTTTCCCCTTGTCAATGATGCAGGACAGAGTTCCTGACAAGGACAGCTGTCTAGTTGTTTGGATGGGATAAAAAAAAATAAGGTCCCGTGTACACATTTGCGTGCACATAAAAGATACCTTGACAGTTGGAATTCGATATAAGAGTAGGCTGTAGTGCCGCTGCCCAGGCAAAATATTCCCTCATAGCACACTGTATGGAGTATGCCCGTCTATATTAGCCAGGTTCGGAGCAGAACAGTAGGACGTTCAACCCCATTTTATTTCATTTTGATTCAAAGAAACCATACATCATTTTAAAGGTATTGAGAATGTGAAAATAACAATACCTCAATGTTCAAAATTTTCTCATTGTGACTCATTTTGCCAGCAGATATGATATAATTTGTTTATTTACCTCGTAATCAGCTTTTATAACAGGCATTAAACAACCGAGTCTTGGAGCACTATTAGCAGCATAAACTCTCCTGGCTATCATAACAGAATTAGTTTCATATAAAGCATTGATTAAAGCGGATAACGCCACAGCAGCAGCCTGAAATTAAAAAAGAAAGAGAGAGAGATGGTTTAACGTCCACGTGACAAAAACTGGGTCATTTCGAGACTAACACATGGTTCAATTTTATTTCTCAGTAGATATTGACATGTTACTTACTTAAAAACAAAACAAAAAAACAACATAAAAAAAAGAATCGTGATACACCAATTCAGCATCTTGTGATTCAATACGTGAATCGTGAGAAGCTGACACTAGGGACCGGGTATCATTCAGATTTGATGAAAAAAGGAAAGCTACCATCCAGAATCTAATACACGTATCGAATAGATTGCCATCCAGAAAGTATTAAATGCCATCAAGATTCATCAAAAAAATGCCCAGTTTCTGCTACCATTTAGTTTAAGAAACACTGTTTAGTTTTGACATTAGTTGTCTAGTTTATGACCATATAGTTTAGTTTTGATATTGGTCGTCTGGTTTATGACCATTTAGATGTCAAAACTAAACAGTGTTTCTTAAACTACAAGTAGCACAAACTGGACGTTTTTTGATGAATCTTGACGACGGCATTTAACACTTTCTGGATGGCAATCTATTAACTGGATACGAGTATTAGATTCTAGATGGTAAGCTCAGTTTATTTCCGTTTTTCGTCAAATCTGAATGATACCCGGTCCCTAGTGTGAATTGTGATACACTGATTCAACGATACATCGTGCCAGCACTAATCAGAACTAACCTCGTCTCCCTTCTCTGCTACAAAAACCAGTGTTCCATCACCGAGATAGTGGTGACGTTTAATCTAGACACAAAAAAAACAAAACTTCATTAATTAATATTTCATCCAATCAATCTGATTAAAATACAGATCTATAATATGTTTCGTTTTTTTTATACTTTCGATGGCCAACACTGGGAGGTCGCGTCAGGGGTTGTACAAGCGTTTTTTTACCCTATGACGTCAGACATTGATTAATCAATCAGCGTTGACGTTTCTAGTGGTTTACCCAGAGTTCCGTGCATCGGACGCCAAGACCTCGCTGTACCAGACCGTTTCATTGGCTAATCCATCACATCAACCAGAATGCCAGTAATATAACAACTCTTCCAGATCTTAGTATAGTAAAGACAAGTAAAACGAAATTCTGAACTATAAAAATGAAACGAAATAGGATCTGTGTTTTAATCAGATTGTGTTCCAAAATGAAATTAAATGAAATGAAATGGGGTTTAACGTCCTACTGTTCTGCTCCTATACTAGGCTAATGAAGACGGGCATACGCCATACAGTGTGCTATGAGGGAAATTTTGCCCGGGCAGTGGCACTATCGCCTACTCTTATACCGAATTCCAACTGCCAGGGGATCTTTTTCGTGCATTCCAAACCTCTGTTTTTTGTCTCATCCGAAGGACTAGACAGCTGTCCTTGTCAGGCCCTCCGTTCTGCACCACTGACAAGGGGGATGATACAGTGAAATGAAATAAAATGAAAAGGGATCTTCAATGTTTGATTTCATGGGTAAGTGTAGCATTATCACTGCCATATATTTTTGCTTTGGCCTGATCGTCTAGGGGTTGGTTTAACTCTGGACTGACTGCTGTTGTATCTCTCTTCTAAGGACTTCAGTATTGTGTTTGTTCTCAGTACGGATACCACATCAAATACATTTTTATATCACAACAGTTAAACAATAATCTACATTACAATATTTAAAATTAACATCTCTTTCTCTCTACCCCAACTTCTGTAAAAGTGACTCAGGAAATCAACCTTCTACAGAACCCAATGATGTCTGACTATTCTAGCCCTCACTGAGCTCACTCCCTCTTTATAGGTGCCTACTGCAAATTGATTTACATAATAGACTGATAAATTCCAAATATGGAATAGATATGCACCATACCCTGGATATCGCCAGGGACCATTACCCAATTTGGTCAACAAATATAATACACATTTTATAACAACGAAAAATGTAAATGATCAACATGTGTAAACATGTGTTAAAGTATCAAAATAACTAGCATATTTTCTATATTTTTGGTTATGAACTTACAATCGATAATGTGTAAAGATAACATGTGTAAATGATCAACATGTGTAAACATGTGTTAAAGTATCAAAATAACTAGCATATTTTCTATATTTTTGGTTATGAACTTACAATCGATAATGTGTAAAGATAACAATATTGTTTCAGCCACCATATTTCTCCATTCCTTGTCTATGAATTTGGAAACAGTGTCGCAACAACAATATTGTTATCCCTACATTGGCCGACAAAGTACATCAGGATTTTCGACGTGGTTTCCCCTCTCAATGGTGTAGGATGGAGGGCCTGACAAGGACAGCTGTCTAGTCGTTCGGATGGGACACAAAACCAAGGTCCTGTGTATACACTGGCGTGCACATAAAGATCCAGTGGCAGTTTGAATTCGATATGAGTAGGCCATAGTGCCACTGCCTAGGCAAAATTTCCCTCAAAGCACACAATGGTGTATGTCCGTCTTCATTAGTCCAGTATAGAAGGAGTAGAACACTCAATAACAGACCTTATCAGGGCTGCCGACAACCAGTATCGCAGCGCAATTTGCGATACATATTTTGTCCGTTGCTAATCAAAAATTAAAATCTAACGTTTTTGATTCGCAGTAACTGCGAATCATTAATATGCCTGTCATTTTGGATATTGACACAAAGATTTATCCACATTTCTCAACACTTTCAACGTGTATAAAATATCAAATATATTTTATAAACAAAACCGAATTCTCCGTGTGACATTTTCTTCTCGAACTACCCAGACTCAATTCATGATACTATATAATACAGGGACATAACTCTATGAATCGGGACTATTAAACCGGAAATAGGGAATCAAGTAGTACCACTCACGTTGCGAGACATGTCAATTTCGGGTAATTATATCAGTATTCAATTTGAAAAAAAATAAATTCAGTCTATCCCCCACGTATTGTAAATAAAATATAAAAAATAAATACGTGTAAACGTATTGTAAAGTGAGAAATCAAAGTAAGAATTCCCGTAAACTATTATTGTTTATATCGCGTGCGTCTAGTTAATCGAGATTATTCGTAAAATACCGCGTGCTTCCGATTGAACAAAAATAATAACACACGATAAAAAGCAGACGAAATTGTTTTCTAACGAGGAAATAAGAAGCCACTGCCAAGAATTGGCTTCAGACATAAGGCCTAACAAAAGTCTACATTCATTCAGAAATGTTCACAGCTAGCTGTAGAAGTGCTAAAATTCTAAAAAAATGTTAAGAATGAAATCTAATCATTTGCTATCAATTAAAATTAAAATAATCTTGTTATTTAGGTGTTTTATGTTGATTTGAAACTGAAAAACTGCTAATCAATTTTTAAATTTGCTAATCAACTTTGGAAAAATTGGACTTTTTGATTAGCAGTGCTGCTAATCATCTGTGAAAAATTACCGACAGCCCTGGACCTTATGATACAACCAGCTTTGCTAACCATTCAGCCATCCAACCCCCTCCATATCATAAGATAACCTTTTATATGACTGACAGTTTATAATTGAAATCAAATTAAACTAAATCAAAATTACTTACATTTTCTGCTTTCGTAAAACCTAATATTTTAAGACATTTCTCAGCTTTATACTTCATATTCTCCTTGTCATCAGCAGACATAGGGACTAGTGTGGTACCATAGCGAAATCCTAAAATCAAAACAAGAGAGAGATAGATAAATGGGGTTTAACGTCCACTCGACAATTTCGGGACTAACATATGGTTCAATTTTATTTCAATAATTTGTTTGCGAGTTGGGTTCTTTAGCAGTTGGAGGAAACTGGAGGATCAAGAGAAAATCCATGAGGTTGGACAGACGACCCTACTCCTTGTCAAGTACAACCGGGGAATCAAAACCACGCTAGTTGACTCAATGACAGACCTTATGATACAAAGCCCACGCTCTAACCATTTGGCCATTCAACCCCACCCTTATGTAAATAAATCATATATTTACAAAACTGATATTCTGTTAATGAGTAAGACATTATCTCGCTAACCTGGAGGTCCCACGTTCGATCCCTGTGTTGACCCAGAATATTCATCATGGCTTTTCCGGCATGGTTTCCTCTTGTCAGGGGTGCAGGAGGGCATGGCAAGGAACAACGTATTCAGGGGGAATTTATCGTGACTGCTTACACGGTCCATCAATGTTCAACACAAGAGGTTTGAATTTTTAAATGAATTTTTAACTGTTAAAACATTGGGTGGCAAGGGTCAGCAATCTTATTCACGAAGACGCAAAACTAAAACATCATAAGCATGCAAGCCTTTCATTGGCTAAAAATATCATATGCATCCAAGCTTTTCATTGGCTAAGAACTGTAATTGGTATTACGATCTTAACTTTCAACCAATGGAATGGCCATATCCTTTATTAGCTTGATAGCGTTGAAAGAATACTGTTCGAAATGATGCCTTAAATACACAAGTAGCTGTTACTAAATGCCATTTACAGATTATCTTTAATATATTTGAATTTCAGGTTGAATTTGGAATTTGATATAACAGTAGGCTGTAGGGCAGCTGTCTGGAAAAAATTTCCCTTATAGCACAGTGTATGGCGTATGCCCGTCTTCATTAGTCCAGCCGGAGCATAACAGTAGGATGTTAAACCCCATTTCATTTCATTTCCTCCAAAGCTTAAAATGAGATATTATTGGTTTAGAGTTGAAGAATTTTCTGGAATTTAACTCACAGCCAATAAAAAGGCAGATCTAAAAAGGAGTAAATGAAATCCTGTCTAATGAAAAGGCACAAGTTGGATCGGTCGAATAGGTCGCTAGCCGAATAGGTCGCCAATTTGTGTTCGGTCAATATCTGTCACGTGCCAGCTATCACGTGATGTAAACAATTAGCCATGTGGCTTAAATTGTGTCATAGTGTCCAGTTTAGAAACTTAATTTACACAAACGCGTTGTATATTATACCTTCAAAACACCGTAAGTTCTTGTTCTTAATATCCTAATAAAGATTACCTTTCATCAGATTTTCTGCCAAACGGCGAAACGATCACAAAATACAGCGCTAAACTTACTCCAAATTTGTATGTTTACTATAGTGACCAGTGAGCGTGTCGAACCAACTACGTCACTTCCGGTATTAATAAAAATTAATTTCTCGCTTACAAATTATTTTTTGCATGTTATAGGAGGGGTTATTTCTAAATATATATTTATTATTTATGGAAACCTTATTGAAAATCGTTGGTCTTCCCCTTTAACCCTGTCGGTACTGAAAAGTAGGACGTTAAACCCCATTACATTTAGTTTTCATGAATACGACCTCAAGTTGGAACTACCTACCATTAACCATATCTTCCGGTTCCACTTCTGTTTCTTCTTCGTCATTTTTATGATACGTGCGTAAATTACCCACTGGACTGTCTATGTCTTTAGCATAAACTTTTTTATAGCTCTGTTTTAACTTAAACTCTTTAATCTGAAAATAAAGCAACAATAAAAATGAAACAACAATAAAACAACAATAAAAATAAAACAACAATACAAATAGAGAATAAAAATAAAACATGAAAATATCCAGATTGTAGAGAGAGGGTGAGAAATGGGGCTTAATGTCCATTCGACACAAACTAGGTCATTTCAGGACTAACATATGGTTCAATTTTATTTCAATAATTCGCTTGCACGTAGGGGACTTTAGCAGTGGGAGCAAATAGGAGGACCCGGGAAAAACTCACGAGGTATGACATTCAACACTACTCCTTGTCACGTACAACTGGGGAATCGAAATGATGCCAGTTGATTCAATGGCAGACCTTATGATACAATGCGAACACACTAACCATTGCACGATTAAATGTTTTTATCTTTTCTTCTAAAGTAAAACAATTTATAAACACTTCTGAGCATGGCTCTCGATTTCAATAATTTACATCAAAACACAATTCCTTTAGAGACATTTAGTAACTGGATAGAGCAATAAACTATAACACATACTTATTCTCTCAAACGTCGCCCAAAAAAATCAGTAACTGTTTTTCCATAAGTATGTTACATAGTTTATTACAATAAGTATGTTGCATAGTTTATAACAATAAGTATGTTGCATAGTTTATAACAATAAGAATGTTGCATAGTTTATCACAATAAGTATGTTACATAGTTTATTACAATAAGTATGTTACATAGTTTATCACAATAAGTATGTTACATAGTGTCATTACAATAAGACAACATGGTAAATAAAGTACAGTTAATTTTATAGTTTTTAAGCAGAATCTAGAGGGTTGACAAACAATGACATTTAAATCTCTGTGTCGAAACACAACTGATTTACGAAGACAAGAAAGGAGAGTTACCTACCTTTGTATAACCACAGACTGGTATTTTTAAATCTGCTATTTCTAACTGTACTTTCCATGCTGTCTGCCTTACTTGTCTAGCCTGGAAATAACTTAAAGCTGGCAACGCCTCCCTGAAATATATTACCAAATTATTGAGACTTATTTACATTATGCTAAATTTTACTGTTTATTAAGTTTGCAGATGGCGCTATTATAGTATGTTTTAAAATACAGATCTATATTTCGTTTTGTTTATTTTTATACTTTCGATTGCCTACACTACATGAAGATCTGACCAGTTGTAATGGGAGGTCGAGTCAGGGGTCATGAACAAGCAGGGTATAGAAACTAGCTATTCGGCCCCCAACGTCCCAGTCTAAGTGCTAAATGAAATGAAATGGGGTTTAACGTCCCACTGTTCTGCTCTGACTGGGCTAATGAAGACGAGCATACGCCATACAGTGTGCTATGGGCGAAAGTTTGCCCGGGCAGCAGCACTATGGCCTACTTTTATGTCGAATTTCAGCTGCCAAGGGATCTTTTACATGCACGCCAATGTGTACACGGGAGCCAAAAGGATAAAAGACAAAAAACCTACATGAAAGAATAACTATCACCATTGACTTCTGATAATATATGTTTAATCATGGCTTCTCCTGCTCTCTGTTGCGGCGATTTCTCTTTACCAAAATTATTATCAATAGTGGGTGGAGCATCGTGGTCATCATCATCATCATCGTCATCATCGTTTAATTTTGGACCACTGAAAAGAAAAACAGAAAATAATCATCATTTCACTGTGGATCACTTTAAAGAAAGGCAGAAAATAAATAATCGTTATCCAATCGTGGACCACTGTAAACTATTGCCAAGCATGATGATATATTGTAGTTGGCAAACAAAGAGAGAGAGAGAGAGAGAGAGGGGGGGTAACGTCCACTCGACACAAACTAGGTCATTTCGGGACTAATACATGGTTCAATTTTATTTCAATAATTCGCTTGCGCGTAGGGGTCTTTAGCAGTGGGAGGAAAACGGAATACCAAGAGAAAAACCACGAGGTTGGACAGGTGACCCTACTCCTTGTCACGTACAACCGGGGAATTGAAACCACGCCAATAACACTTTATAGGTCTTTGTCATTAGGGTTGTTTAAAATAGACTGTATGTTATAAAGTGCTGTATGAAAACAACTTCGACTCTTAGTACTTACATCAAGTTCTGTTCCTGATACAAACATTACACCAAGTTTTATTCCTGATACTTACATAACATTAAGTTCTGTTCTTGGTACTTATATTACATTAAGTTCTATTCTTGGTACTTACATTACTGTTGGCTTAAGTTCTGTTCCTGATATAAACATTAGATTTAAGTTCTGCTCCTGATACTTACATTACATTAAGTTTTGCTCCTGATACCAACATTACATTAAGTTCTGCTCATGATACCAACATTACATTAAGTTCTGTTCTTGGTACTTACATTACATTAAGTTCTGTTCCTGATTTCTGTAAACCTTTAACTATAGTATCAAGCTGATCATCAGCGAAGGGTTGACAGAAGTTCGACAATAAAATCAATCTTTTTGTTGCAAATCCCTTTTTACCACTGAAAGAAATAAAACAGCATATCTTCAATAAATGTACCAGTGAAAATAGGCTGAAAAAATTTAAACTTGATCTTTACTGCACAATAAGTAGAATTCAGTGCTCAAATAATTTTTCTTCTGGTCAAGTTTAGGGGAACTGTTTAGAATGCTCTCCTGTAACCGTTAAAGATTATTAAAAAAAAAAAATCACGACAAATATATGGTTACCATTTCCAAATCACTATGTATGAATTTAAGATTATCCAGTGTAGCGAAATGGGGATTAACATCCACTCAACACAAACTAGGTAATTTCGGGACTAACATACAGGAGAATCGAAACCATGGCAGTTGACTCAATGACAGTATTAATGTCTAATGGCCGCTGGTACAGACAGGGTTGTGTGTCTCTCCAACTAATGTGTGAATATCTTCATTGCACAGTGTCATGATAAACTAGAAAGTATCTATAATGATGTTATATAAACAGCGAACAGAATGAAGTCAATCAAGTATCATTACTTATAATTTAGAAGGTGTAGTTTGCTAAAGAAAAAATATAAATACTGTGTGTACCAACAATTTAAGCAGGTCAAACCATTGTTTTCGTAAGTAAAGCTCACTAAGTTATTATTCCCGTGATCACTTTTATCAAGTTGTCGCAACAATGTCGATGGACATAACTTCAACGCCAACTTCGATGGAAACAAGTAGCGAAGGTATGGCAAGTAGTTTATTTGATAAAGAAACATTAAACTCAATCGTAAATGAAGCAGTAAAAGCAGCCGTAGACCTGCTTGAAAAAAAACTAAACAAATTAATCAATAATAGACTATCCAAAATTGAAGATCGCCTAACTGAGGTCGAACTAATAAACAACAACATTGGGTCTGATGTTGATGGCTTTCACGAACGTTTCGAACGTATAGAATCATCCCTTTGCAAGTCATATAACGAAAACGAATCTCTTAAAAATAAACTCAATAATCTAGAGCAATATACAAGAAAGTCTCATCTTCGTGTGTTTGGTATCCCCGAAAATCAAGAAAATGAAAACTGTCTGCATAGTGTCCAAAATTTGCTCAGAGATAAACTGAAAATCACCAAGGATATTTGCATAGATGTGGCTCACCGTGTTGGTAAAAAAACAACCATTGATCAACCTAACGAAGAAGGATCGAATAATCCCACAGCCGAGAAACCTAGAGGAATTATTGTGCGCTTCCTAAAGAGAGAAGACCGCCAGTATGTTCTATCTCAAAGAAGAAAATTGAAAAATTCCGGTGTATCCATATGCGAAGACATGACTCGTGAGAACGTGAAAAAGCTAACCGAAGTTCAAAATCACCCACTAGTAAAAAGGGCATGGTTCACAAACGGTAAAATCAAAGCCGAAGGTCACAGTGGCCTGATGTGTCACAAAATTGAGCTATTTCCCAGCTTAGACCATCAATTAGCGAAGCTAACAGCATAATTCCAACGATGTCATCATAAAAAGTCTGCAAATGAATAAACTTTCTAAATAAATTAATTATTCAATATTCAATTGCTGTAATGATTATGCTATATGTATTTGTGTTCTGTCGATATTACCCCCCCCCCCCCCATATAAATTAGAATAATCTCTCTTATAATTATCGATATTCTGTTGACAATCCACAAAAGTAAATTATCCTTCATTCTCACTTATTATAGAAGTCACGTTAGATGAGAATCTTTAGAAACGCCATCATAGGGTATACAGTGTATGAGTGCTAATTCTCCATGTTTAAGTAACAATTGTTTACCATTACATCGATCGTGTATAATTTGTGAGTTATCTTAACTCACCGCATGAACACATTAATTGAACCTCTCATTTACTTTTATAGTTGCTCAGACTGCTCGACTTTCGAAGGAGTTATAACACTTTCGTCTTTTCGGCTACCCATTGTCTCTTTTCATGTCAATCTAAATAAATTACATTATGTAGCACAGATATAGCTTCTTTATCTAAAAGTCGAATTGTAAAAATTCGATATGCATGTACAAACCTTTAATTTACGAGCATAAATTCGATGTTTTCCTTGGTAATGCTAGATGAAATTTATTTGAGTGTGTAATTGTTATGTTAAATGTAATCCCTAGCATCTTACGTAAAGGGATATTTCTATGTATTTAGTAAACAAAACCATCAATCTTAGCCTACACGTTATAATTACTATAACATTTTAATTTACTTTTGTTAAAATAATACACTTTATACCATTATTGATAATAATGTGGCAATTCTGGACTCTTATTTTCCAAATGTTAATAATTTATCAATATGGTCGTGGTTAAAAGAAGAAAAAAGAATGGGACGTTAAGTTAGTAAATCAGTACTACGTTTACGTTCTTTTCCCTATTTTTACGCAACAGTGTCTTTTTATTACATCGATCGTGTGAAAGTGGTGAGCTTTTTAAACTCACCGTTAACACATTGAATGTACGTCGCTTTATTTACACGAAATTTGGAAATAAAAACTAACCTATGTAGAGCGGATATAGCAGCTTATCGGAAAATCCAATCACTCAAAACAACGCATCGGGACATATAAACCTTAAATTACGATGAAATGTCTGGTGTAACCTATTTAAGAGTGTAATTGTTATGTTAATTTTGTTTAGTTAGTTAGGATGTCTTTGTATATTTGGTAAACAAATCCAAATTGTTGTGATGTGATAATCCCATTAATACGCCCCTGTCTCTAGTGAGTTCTCGTTTACCTAGCCGAAACAATACAAGCCTTACACTTGTTTAATTCAACATCTTCCCCTGGCGCTCAGCTAGTTAGTCTTTAGAAGCAGAATTTCTTCTCCTTGTTGTCTTATAGCACCAATAATTGACATTTTAACCATATAGAATTTAATCTTGATATATTTATAAACCTTATCCCATATATACCAATTTACGATACTTATGAGGTGTCAGACGAAGTCATATTTGTTAATATCTCTTAGTATATAAACTGCAAATTATTATGACAAGTTAATGATACCCCTCCCCCCTCTCTCTATCTATCTGGTCTGCACTTAGCATTTGTATAATCCAAATATTATACCCCCCCCCCCCACAGTAATATATTATATTGTTGTACACCAATGATACTTAACATGTCACTTGCATGATGATAACACTTTCCAAGAACGTACAAAACGTTCTATACCAAATATAGCTGTATATATTTTGTAAATGCGTTAGGTTTGTCAATGATCTGTATATACCTTGTAAATATGTTAGGTCTTTCAGCTTTTTGTTTAATATGTATCTTATTTACTATCGCAAGAAAGCCCCCTTTTCCATACCTGACCTCCTCGAGACGCCATGCCAAGAAAAATACGTACCAATCTCGGTCTTTAAATTTGATATCTTCCCTTTGCTTCCCAACAGCTATTATCAGATTTCCGTAAATTCAAAATAATGACTACTTTCCAAATGTACTGTTGTTCGCAAAGGGTAGGTACACATATTACTATACAAATTATACATATCTCCCTCAAATCAAAAAATTATGTACCAAGTCTAATTTTAATTATTCTATTGTTATTGATATGTGGTGATATTAATCCAAATCCTGGACCCAAAAACCTATCAGTCTTGCATCTAAATACGAGAAGCATACGAAACAAAATTGATCAAATTACTGTAGAACTTAATAAGTATGATGTACTTACATTTTCCGAAACCTGGCTTGACGATTCCATTCCTCTACCTGACCTATACATTAATAGTTATCACCCCCCCGTTTTATTAAATCGCGAAGATGGTAGGGGTGGGGGAGTAGCTATATACGTTAAAAATAATCTATACTTCACACCACGCCCAGATTTATTTATAAGAAACTTAGAAGCTATTTGGGTAGAAGTTCAGTTCAATTCCAAAAGTGTCCTAATTGGATCGTTTTATAGGCCGCCTTCCAGTAAAATTGATTATTGGAAGTTAATTGAGGATAGTTTTGCAACTGTTTGTAATTTTAAAAATTCTCATGTTATTATATTAGGTGATTTTAATATAGATTTTTTAACCACTTTTAATAGTAAAATCCATGATCTAATTGGCCTATTTGATTTTCATCAACTAATAAATGTACCGACCCGCATTACGCCATCTTCTCGATCTCTGTTAGACTTAGCCATAACGAGTTGTCCCGACTTCGTGAAAAGTGTAAGCGTTTCAGACTCGGGCCTCAGTGATCATAGCCATATCGTTTTATATCTAAATTTCACTACTCTAAAAACCCACTGCTTTCAAAGGACTGTTTGGTCTTATTCGAAACTAAATGCCACTGATCTTATAACTCATTTTTCTAGTTATAACTGGGACGATCTTTTCCAACAATACCACGATCCTCATACACTTGCCGATAATATATCCAAATCAATTTTTTCTGAACTTAGGCTTTTCATACCAAATAAAATCGTTACAATCAGACCAAATGACCCTAAATGGATGAATGGAAAAATCAGACTTCTTATTCGTAAACGAAATAGACTCCATAAAAAAGCGAAAAAGACTAATGTACAGCTCGACTGGCAAAATTTTAGAAAGTCTCGAAACGTTGTCATTTCCGAAATACGAAAATCTAAATCTTCTCACTATTCAAAAATAGACTCTAAAATTAATAATAACGACTTTAGTGAATCTCGATGGTGGTCTTTGGTTAAACAAATCTCTCTAAAGAAAGGCTGCTCAGGCCCGGAAATTCCACCTCTTAAATATAATGATAAATTATTCTTCGAAAACAGTGACAAAGCTAACGCCCTTAATGATTTTTTTGTCTCACAGGAAACTCTAGACACCGACCAAGACAACCTTCCCGACTTACCTTTCTCTAACATAGAAATTCCTCCCCTTAAAATAACCCCCCAACTAGTCGAAGATATTCTCTTCTCTTTAACTCCTAAAAAATCATGTGGTCATGACAATGTAAACAACTTTGTTTTAAAATTACTCCATAAATCCCTAGCAACTCCACTCAGCCGCCTCTTTACCATACTAGTTGATCGTTGCATCTTTCCAGATTGCTGGAAATTTGCCAATGTTGTTCCCATCTTTAAGAAAGGATGTGCCCACGACTGCACAAACTACAGACCAATTTCTCTCCTTAGTTCTCTAGGTAAAGTCTTTGAAAGAATCATTTATAATCATATTTATAATTTCATCATCCGTCAAAAGATCATTACCCCCCATCAATCAGGATTTCTGGCTAAAAATTCTGCTACTTACCAACTTCTGGAAATGTACAACTATATTTGTAAGGCTCTCGATGAGGGACACGAAGTAAAATCTGTCTTCTTCGATATTAGTAAAGCTTTTGATAGAGTTTGGCATCGTGGCTTATTACACAAACTAAATAACTATGGTATCCGCCATGACACTCACAAATTAATTACCAGTTATCTACAAGATCGCGAACAATGTGTCGTCCTTAATGGTCAAAAATCATTCTCAAGAAATGTTTCTGCCGGTGTTCCGCAAGGCTCGATAATTGGTCCACTTTTATTTCTCCTATATATAAATGATTTAACAAATAATATTTCATCTAATATACGCCTGTTTGCTGACGACACCTCTTTATTCGTAATAATTGATAACCAAATCTCTACTCAAAATAAATTAAACGCGGACCTCGAAACGATTTTCAAATGGTCATTAAAATGGAAAGTAACTTTCAATCCTTCCAAAACTACCAGCCTTACCTTCTCTAGAAAACTTTCCCCCACCTCTCTCAACTTAAATTTCAACAATGTCCTTCTTACTGATGTTAACACCCATAAACACCTTGGCGTATATTTCAATAACTTCTGTACTTGGGATACCCACATTAACCATATGATAACTAAAATTAGTAAAACCACTAACTGCTTCCGTTCATTAAAATATCGACTTAAACGTAAAACCCTTGAAATCATCTTCAAATCTTTTATCCTACCACTTTTCGACTACGCTGATTGCGTGTGGAATAACTGCACAAAAGAAAAAAGTGACCAGCTGGAATTTCTACATTTAGACGCCATTCGAACCATTACAGGCCTTCCTCGCGGTACTTCGCATAACTTACTTTATTCTGAATCTGGATTCACCAGCCTTATACAAAGACGTTACGAACATAAAATGGTTTTATTCTTCAAAATTATCAATATACAAACACCGTCGTTTCTATTGGATTTAGTACCTCCAACTATAGCGTCAAGCCAACCATATCAACTCAGAAACTCCAACAATCTAATGAGTATTATCTATAAATCCAACCTTTATAAAAATTCGTTTTTTCCATCGTCAGTACTGGAGTGGAATCGTCTAGACGAAAGCATCAAAACTCCTGACTCGATCTCTTCATTCAAATTTAAAATTAGACAAGCATACGGTAAACCTAAACACAACGATCTCTTCAACTTTGGCGACAGGACTCTCCAGATTATTCTCTCCAAATTACGTAATTCGAAATCCGACTTAAATTATCATAAATACCTTATGCATATATCTGACGACCCATCCTGTCTGTGCGGAAACAAATGCGAATCTAGCGAACACTTCTTCTTTCATTGTAGCCTCTTCTTAGAACAACGCAGATCCACTATCGATACATTGGACTACCATTACAAGAACATTAATTCACTTTTATTTGGAAATGACAGTCTTTCTAAAAATAGAAATATCTGTTTACTCTCAGTCGTTCACAAATATATTACTTTGACTAAACGCTTCAATTCTCCGAAATAAAAATTTTAATCGATCATTCTCTACGAGCCACTTTTTAATTACCCTTCAAATTTTATATTGTGAACAACGTTTACTCACTGTCTGAGTACATACAAACTTCCCTGACCTAGCCTCTGTAACCCAGTCAAATGTGAGATATGTGTATACCAGTACCATTAAACTATAGTAGGTTGGTGCGTTTTTTTTTTTTTTTTTTTTGTTTTTTTTTTTTTTTTTCTTGGCATCGCGTCCTCAACTTTATTATCCAAATCTGTACTCGGGCACCCGTTCCTTTTCCGATTTTCTCTCTTTTCCTTTGACTATTTTTCTTTTTATTTATATACCTCTGTCATCTCATTGTTAACTAAAACCCTAATATTGATAATCATTCCCATTGTATTACATTACCAGCTGATCATTAAATTTATATTCGTGTCACTCCATTCTGGAAGCAGTTTTATATAAGCATTAAGTTGCTTGTTACTGTATCCAACTTATTCATATTATTCCCTCTATGATTGTATATAAGAATTCTGAATAAATACTTTTTTAAAACTCAATGACAGACCTTATGATACAGTGCACACGTGCTAACCATTCGGCCATCCAATCCCCCATTTAGCAGGGAAGTATGATGTACAGTAATTATGTCCATACAAAACAAGCAGTTGCTATGCAAGATGCGCCCACATTTTACAAAAGATGGACAGAGAACAAGCTAAATAAAGCGATTGTTTGGTACAATAAGCGACCACCATCTAGTATGTTACCGTCCGACATGCAACAATATCAAAAGGAACCAATATCTTTGCGATATAAACATATATTTTAAGTTTCATCAAATTCAGATAAAAATTGTGACCTGTAGAGGGTCCAAAACCACTGTAACCCAGGTATCATTTAATCTTGTGTATCTAGCACTAATTTCTTTCTCATTCATTTAATATCAAATCTTTGTTTTAAAATTCGTAAAAATCATTTAAAATTTGTAAACAAAGATTTGATATTGAATGAAAGTGAAAGAAATTAGTGCTAAATACACAAGATTAAATGATATCTGGGTTACAGAGAACCTTGGTATTACATAATTTTACACTATTTGCGTACGAGGAGCAGTCATTTTGTCTGTCAGTTTTGGTTAGAATTTCACCAAATTAAACTCGACCGTCATTAGGGTGTAACAGTGATACATTTGAACGATTTATAAATCAAATAAAAATTGTGACCTCTTCAGACCCAAGGTCCACAAGCTAAAAACGTGATTTTTTCATACAATCAGGGGCTGATCTCGAAAGGAACCAAGATCTTTGAGAAATAAACATGTATTTTAAATTTCATCAAAATTTCATTTGTCCTTGATAAATAACATTATCAGTTGATCAATAAGAATTTTTGCCTGGCATCAATAACATTTTTTGCCTGGCACCAAAAACAATTTTTGCCTGGCACCAATAACAAGTTTTGCTTGGCACCAATAACAATTTATTGCCTGGCATCAACAACAATTTTTGCCTGGCATCAATAACAATTTTTGTCTGGCATCAATAACAATTTTTGTCTGGCATCAATAACAATTTTTGCCCAGCATCAATAACAATTTTTGCCTGGCATTAATAAGATGAGTTTGTCCTTAATAAATAGCATTACAGGTATATATAAGAATGTACTTACACTGTAGACTGTACTAGATGGTCCATTGCTACAACCATAGCATCAATAACTAGAACTTTGTTAACGAATAAATACAATTGAAATAGGATCTGTTGATGGTATTCACATTTGTTATCACAATTAAAAGGGTCTTTTAAAGGAGCTAAATCTCTATTCTTTTGGCACCGAGATAAGGACACAAATGGGTCACAATGCATATAATACTGTATTATGAAGGTATATAAACTGATTTCCTTTCTATCGTTTCTGTTTTTACTGTAATTTCTAATCAGTTATTTTTGGCAAAATACGCAAAGAGTCCCAATTAAATGGCAGCCTTTGGCATCGGGTTATTTCAGTCTACACTGGTAGTATTCTGCTGTGGGGTATGTTTAGCCTCGTTTATAGAGTCACTTCATCACAGGCTCCCTACTACTTGTCACCTACAAATGGGGAATCAAAACCATGCCAGTTGACTCAATGACAGGCCTTATGATACAGTGTGCATGAGCTAACCATTTGACCATACAACCCCACCTTGTTAAATCCAAGTTTGAATTTGCTGATCCCAACCAGACAGAATTGTTTCTATTCATAACAAAACACAAGGTATATATGACTATAACTACTTCTCCATTATTTAATAACAAAGTTTCTTAACACTCTTCTGACAACTCTTCTTCAAATTTAAACTGCCCAGGGTTCTTTCGAAATAGGGAGCCACAGCGGCTCAGTAAGGAAGACACTGGCTCACTAGCCTGGAGGTTACGGGTTCACTCCCAGTGTTGGCCGAGATAGTTCACCAAGATTTTCAGGTGTGGTTCTCCCTTGTCAGTAGTGCAGGACGGAGGGCCTGACAAGGACAGCTGTCTAGTCCTCCAGGGGGGGTAGATGGCTGAATGGTTAGCGTGCACGCGCTGTATCATAAAGTCTAAAGTCTGTCATTGAGTCAACTGGCGGGGTTTCAAATCCCCGGTTGTACGTGACAAGGAGTAGGGTCACCTGTCCAACCGCAAGGGTTTTCTCCGGGTCCTCCGGTTTCCTCCCACTGCTAAAGACCCCTACGCGCAAGCGAATTATTGAAATAAAATTAAAAACCATATGTTAGTCCCGAAATGACCTAGTTTGTGTCCAGTGGACATTAAACCCCATTTCTCTCTCTCGCTCTCTAGTCCTTCAGATGAGACGAAGAGCCAAGGTCCTGTGTATACATTGGAGTGCATGTACATGTAAAAGAACCCTTGACAGTTGGAATTCAATATTATAGTAAGCGATGGTGCCACTGTCCGGCCAAAATGTCACTCACAGCATATGCCCGCCTTCATTAGCCCAGTGTAACAAGAACCCCATTTCATATCGTTTCTTTCAGAGTATCAATGAGTCGACCATCTTCATCCCTTCTGATTAAAAAGATGTGATTCTCTTGGCAACTGATGAGATTCGAAAACCCGGACATACAAGATGAGGTACCGTATGACTACAAAACTACTAAGATCAAAGAAACTAGATAAAGAGCTGACCATTCTTGCTATAATAGCTCAAAAATAGATAAAGTAAAATGAAAATATTGAAAATTTCATTCAAATTACTTCATTCTGAGTCAAATTATCACTGTATGTAGTTTTGACAAGATGTGTGCATTGTGGTAACCAGGGCACTGGTATATTCAAGATTTAGCCTTGCTTTCCCATTTTTAAATTTAATTTTTAAATGGTGAATCGTTCTAATCTAGTTAAAATCTTGAGTATCTGATGGCATCAAGAGTTGATTATGGTCTTTTTATGTTAATAAATGTCTAATTAATAATTTATATAACATTTCAGGCCTAAAGAAAGACCTGCAATAGGCAGATTTAGCTCTTGCATAATGTATGTTTAAATATCTATATAAAATGCCTGTGTCGTCTATCATCAATTTCATAAATAAATAGCTGTGGGTGTTGTACAAGAAGAAGAGTATGCTTACTCCTGTTAAAACACCTGATACCACATTACCATGGTAACATCATGATCAGTTACTCTGGCATGTTCCAAGGGTTTGGGAGGCAGGTCAAGTGGTTTAAAGAGAGAGAGAGAGAAATGAGGTTTAACGTCCACTCGACACAAACTAGGTCATTTTGGGACTAACATATGGTTTAATTTTATTTCAATAATTCGCTTGCGCGTAGGGGTCTTTAGCAGTGGGAGCAAACCGGACAAGTGGTTTAATGTGTGTGTTTTAGATCATAAGGTCTGTGAGTGAGTCAAGTGGATGGTAAACCCTATTTCCCACTTGTCCAACCTCATTGGTTTTCTATGGGTCCTTTGGTTACCTACCATGTCATTGTATCGATACTGTTCTTGCAGTGAGGCAAGAGTAAAGACGCCTGCCTGAATTTGTGGGCTCTCTCTCTCTCTGGGTGGTTGAGATAAGTGGTGTGGTTTTGATTCCCTGGGCGACCTTCGGATGTAGACTATGGTCGCGACTACAGTCTGAACTAGCACCCAAACGCAAATGGCCCTAGCCATCGACTATTCAATATGGTGGCGACCATGTCAGTTGTTCCGCCTGCTATATTTTCTCCTATTTACTCATGTATTTTTAAAAACTGGTTATTTTTCCATACTGCGATGTGAAAGCAAGCTTAAAATAGGTTACAAATAGGATTAGTCAATATCAGAATATTTTTCATTGGAATTATGTCACCCAACTAAATCATGTCACACGTACAGTTTTTTGTCGTGTGCCTATATATATTCGAATAAGAAGATCCTAATCTGTCAAATTCATCAAAAAAGACGAAAAAAAAAATCATATTTAACATCTATAGTACAATGACCATTCACTAACTTTCAGGCGTTAACATGGGCCCTATAATACCGACCAAGGTGTAGATAATGCAACGGCAATCGGCAATTTTATTATATTTTTCAGAAAATCTTCTCAAGTGTCAGTTTTGTCAGTCATCTTTGAACTATCCCGACTGTGCTTTATCGCATGGTATGGCTGGTCATGACCACTGGTTGAACTAAATGTCATTCGCATGCAGATGGTTCGACTATAGTACGAAAATCCGTGCAACCGAAGGTTGCCCAGGCTGTAATGACAGGGAGTTGAGCCATTATATCAGTTTTTTCTGATACTTTCCAGTTTCCTCCCACTGCTAAAGACCCCTGTGCACAAGTCAATTACTGATATAAAATTGAACTATATGTTAGTCCCGAAATGATCTGAATTTGTGGGCTCTCTCTGTGTGTCTTAAGACGTGGAATTTTAAAGGATACAATCTGCTTGATTATCTGAAGCTTGTACATTATTTTGTACAAGTTCAAACAAATCAAAATCTGGTACTCCTAACGATCGACCGATCACGATATTCTGGTAATTTTCTCCATCTGCTAGAGGATTATCTGTGTCTGCTGTACCAAATAAAATCAAGGCAACTTCATCCTTAGATTCTGAGAACATCTGAAATCAGACACGAATAAAATATCAATATTAACTATACCTGCCAGCAGCACTGAACCGGCTTTCAGGAATCAGACACGAATGTAATATCAATATTAATTACAGTGGACTCTGTCAATTCCGACATTAACAAGCCCTGCAAGCAGCACTGAACCGGCTTTCAGGAAGCAGACAGGAAGAGTGTCATACAATAGCCCATATATAGTGCTACAAAACGATACTTTAGTTGTTTTGATCTGGTAATTTCTTTTACTAATTATAGTACCTATTAATTATAGTGGACTCTGTCAATTCCGACATTGTCTGGGATCGATACAATATGCCGGCAGATTACACAGCATGTCGGAATAAGTCAAGTGATGTGGTTTCAATTCCCCGCTTCTCAAAATTTGAAACCAACCTAGTTGCGTCGCATGGACATTCAACCCCATCTCTCTCTCTCTCTCTCTATCAAAATTTGAAACCAACCTTTCTCTGCAGGATAAGAGTGATAGCATCAAGAGCATGTTGAAGAGCTGTTGTCTGACCATGTGGTGCTACATCCATAGAACTACTAACATCAACCACAAGGGCTATGGCTTCCTGAAAAAAAAATCATTGAAATGAAATGGTGTTTAATTAACTTCTTACTGTTCTGGAATCTGGTCTGACTGAGCATATGCCATACATTGTGCTGTCAAGGGAATTTTGCCCGAACAGCTGCACTACTGCCTACTATTATATTGAATTCCAACTGCCAAGGGATCTTTAACGTGTACGCCAATGTGTACACAGGACCTTGGTTTTTCATCCTATCCGAACAACTAGACAGCTGTCCTGCACCACTGACAAGGGGAAAATCATGCGGGAAAAACCTGATGAACTTTCTCGGCCAACACCGGGAGCGAATCAGCAATCTCCAGGCTAATGAGCCAGCATCTTACTCACTTAGCCACCGTGGCTCCCCTTCCGAAAAAGAATTGAATAAAAATGAAACATGAAACAGACCATAAATATCTTGGATATGATGATTTTCGCTTGTTAGCGTATTCATAAAAGGGCTTCAACAAGGGTTTTACTTATCTTAATCGGCGCAATCTTCACCCCCGCACAGATTGCAATCTGTGCTGTCATCCTGCGCAGATTGCACTCCGCGGGCGCAGATTGGACCCCGCGGGCGCAGATTGCAATCTGCGCTTATGAAGCTGGCGCGCAGATCGCCAACTTTGCGCTGATTACCCCACGATGTTTTTAGAGATATTGTAGTGTGTCAGACGAAACTATATATTCTATTATATATGACCTGCCTCCTGTGGTCTTTGTAGTGAAATAATTTTCAAAATCACTGCATAATTATCGTGTGTGCTTAGAAAATAAGATTTTTAATTCTAGTCAGCAGTATCTCATAATCGGTGCTGACCGTTTGACTGAATGTCTAAAATATTTGCTGTAGTTACTTTAGTAACGAGGTCTTAGAGACCCGTATGTAGGTTCACAAAGTATGTCATGTAGACCTCTCGACGGAAACTGCTTTATAACTCAAAAGCCCTTCTACTACTTCCTCTTTTCTGGTAGTCAAATGCGGTGATACTTTTCTTTCTCGTATCGATTTGCTCTGATTTGCTCAACCAGTAAACTGACGGTCACAAAATTCATTAAAATGTAATCATTAAAATGACTAATACTAACGAAATGATAGTGAATACCGAGTAAGATAAGGCGGATTATCATCGCGGTAATCCATTTTAGTCCGGACAAAGTTCACTTCGCGCGCGCAGATTACTCATCGGAAATTAGACGGAGATTCGCGCATGCGCGGGAGTAATCTGCGCTCAACATACTAAATTCGCACGGAAAAAGAAAAACGCAATATATAGGCTACATATATAGACTAACTCTGACTCAACACAAACTAGGTCATTTTGGGACTAACATGGTTCAATTTTATTTCAATAATTATAAATTCACTTGCGCATAGGGGTCTTTAGCAGTGGGATGAAACTGGAGGACCCGGAGATAACCAATGATGGGATAGGTTGGACATACAACCGGGGAATCAAAACCACTCCAGTTGACTCAATGACAGACCTTATTAATACAGCGCGCACGCGCTAACCATTCGGCCATCCAAAGAGAATTAACCTCTCTGTTCCGAGGCCATTCTGAAAAGAACGAACACGCTTTGGAAAGTCTACAATTAAATAAGTTATGATTAATACTTATTTTCCAATAACTGATCATTGTGGGAGTTGACTAAAATATGTACTCATGTAGACTAAATGAATGAAATGATAATTCTGGATAGAGGTAGCGTGTGCCAACCGAAAAAGGGACGTAACTCTTTTTTCTTAATTGGCTGTCACAAATATGGCGCTATTTTTCCGCGAAAAGCTAGCCTTGCATTACGGCCTCGTGTTGGTTACCTGCAATCGATACCGGTTCCATTCAACCGAAAACAGTTAGTTAAGAGGTCAAGGTTGCTCCGCATGCAAAATTTATCACTCGTAGCAAGGTAAGAATATTTTTTTTCTCCGATTGAAAAGTTTGAAATTTTGTAACTTTTTTCGTGGAAGATGCGGAGCGAAAAAAAACCTGCTCAAATATGGATTAAATATCCCTTTATAAGATCCATCTTCATTTATTTCCATAAGTGGACGTGAACATTGGTAAAATTCAATTTTTCTCCATGTGACCGAAATTCTGTCGGCCATATTGTAATGGCGGGGGCGTGTCAAATGTACCGTTAGACACCCGTTAGTTACACACGTGCTAATAATGAGTGATCATAGGAAGAATTTTAACTTTCTAAGACTGTGCAGTTGATTTTTTTACGAAAACAAACATAGCTCAGAATTGTATGGTATAATAAAGCCCAATAAAAAAAAGAAATAAGGAGTACTTTTCTATATTTTTATTTTTAGGGTTTTTTTTTTAATTATTGAGAAATGGATAGGTCTACTAGTAGTTCTGAAGAGACATTACCCCCAACCGAAGAACTAGTAGAAGACACATTGGAATGTGGACAGAAGCTATTTTTATTATTTAACATACGGTATATTAGATTATTAATATTAACTCATGTATTATTAACTCATGTATCATGTATTCCAGCCGGTTTTCCTTCATTTTATCAGTATTGTTTAATCATATTTACAAAACTTTTTCAGTATATGCAGAATATTTTCTAGATATTTAGCTGAATTGTTGTGTTTTTTTATATTTTTATACTGAAAACTTCAATTCTGGAGTTTTGTTAGTTATGATTCAGTGCATTTATTTTGATAATTTTATTTTTTGATATTTCATACTCATAGCTGTCCACGAGAACATGGATATTTCATAGCTGTCCACGAGAACATGGATATTTCATAGCTGTCCATGAGAACATGTTTCCAGTTTCCATTTAATCATCAAAAAACAATTTCCACTATTTTTAATGATTTTTTTTTATAGTTATTATTTTTATGTTTTTTCGGAACAAAATATGTCCGATTTGCTTTAAATTTTGTCAAAATAAAAGGTAAAAACAATATTTTTGTGGTTGATTTTAGTAAATGTGTGTCTCTAGAACATCTGTGTACAATTTGAGTCTGTTCCAAAGTCATTCAGTTAGTCAAAATATTATTTTTTCAATTTTGCCTGTTTTTGACGGATTTTGGGAAAACGCTGCTTACGTATGGGTATATAAAATTAGCTACAAAAAACAAAGTTATGAACCGATTGTCATAATTGAAAAAGATTAATGATTCTCAGGTGTTTTTCTAACTGTGTGCAAAATTTCAGGTCTGTAGCTCAAAAATTGAATTTTGGTTGGCACATGCTAATAGAGGATGATGTCAAGTAGTTTGACATTTTGTTATTTTCACAGTTCAATTAACATTCTTTTAAAATGACAACCTTTCCGTATCATAAATATATTATTCATTCTCTTGTTTCCCTAGTCATTTAAAAAGAAAACCTTTGCAATTGCAAATAAATGAGCATTTTATGCTGAGTTTTGCATTTATTTACCTTATTTGCCGCCATACTGTTTCCTAATATTCGGATATCCGGTTTTGTAGTCTTGATTATCAAACATTGATCTTAAAGGCTGGATAACCAAATGTATTTGAACTGCCGGAGTTTGCCGAATGTCATTTTGATTGCAGGCATAAGTTGAATTTATTGTGTATAGTCCATCACAGGGCCGTAAGTAGCTCTGCTGTAAAATTGACTTTCGAATCCGCGGTTGTACGTGACAAGGAGTAGGGTCGCCTGTCCAACCTCGTGGGTTTTCTCCGGGTCCTCCGGTTTCCTCCCACATCTAAAGACCCCTATGCGCAAGCGAATTATTGAAATAAAATTAAACCACATGTTAGTCCCGAAATGACCTAGTTGTGTCGAGTGGACGTTAAACCCCATTACTCTCTCTCTCTCTGTAAAATTGACGGACAATTAATTTTTTGGCGGGGGTGGGGGTGGGGTGTTCTCAGGGGAGCTGTAAAATTGACGGACAATGTATATCTATTTTTTTATGGTCGAAAAATTTTTGACGGGGGGGGGGGGGGGAGAAACTTCTTGCGGGGCGGTCGGAAACTCATGACACACAGGCATGACCATGATTGGAAAAGTTTAAATCAGACAGAAGATTGTGTCATAATTTGATAGGGACTAAGGAACTATGGCGGTATATTAGATTCAAAATTCTAACGTGCTATCGTCTAATTTCTAACTTCTATTTATGTAATTTTTAAATCAAAACAATGTATAATCTAACTTCCTTATTTGTACAGTGTAAATTTTAATTCTATTTCATCTTTTTTCTATTATTCAGACGAAATGAGAGGGAGAGAGAGCGAGAGAGAGGAGAGAGAGAGCCTTATATATAGAGGGTCTGGCCAACTGACTTCATGGACGCCATTGCATATAAGGCTCTGGTTCTCCCTCCCCCCCCCCCTTGTCTCTCCCCCTGGCACGGGGAGCAGTAATAGAATATAGACCAACAGCATCTAAATATCTAAATATTAAAGATACATTATGGGAGATTAGATAAAGAGCTGGCAGTTCTCGCTATAATAATTAAAAACTAGATAGTGTAAAGGTAATTTGCTGAAAATTTCAGTCAAATTGATCCACTATGAGCCGAGAAAGAAGCCGGTGAAATTTTTGCATAGTCTCGGTTATCATTACTAAAATCATTAATATAAACAGCATAGTCACGATTATCCACTTTTTCTGATTTAATTATATTTGGCCGTTAGCGGCATATAGGAATCTAATCCAGCCTACACCGAAGGCTAGCCTTGACATCGAGAGTTTATTATGGTCTGGATAAGTTAATTAATGTCTAATTGATAATTTAGATAACATTTCAGGCCTAAAGAAAGACTTGTAATAAGCAGATTTTGCTCTTGCATAATGCATGTTTAATTGGCTCAATTGTAAAAAAAATCAAAAAATCAAATAAAATTCTCCAAATCCTGCACTTGTCTTTAAAAAAATGAACAAATGCTAGCTGTTTAGCTTATATTTGAAGTAGTATTTGCAAACCATATCATTTTCGATGTTGTTTTCAATTTTAACACGCGTCAAACCATTCAACCTGACGAAGAGCGAGTCGTTTTTACCAACATAATGGTCCCGATCATTGCTAGTTGATAACGATGGTTGCTAGGTAGAAGTATCAAAATTCTAAATTTATTCGAGGTTCACGCTTAACATGTAAAACGACAATGAAGTAGACGATTTTCGTCTTAAAGGGACTATCCCGATTTGAACAGAGTCTTAAAAATAAAAGTCCGAGTACGTATGAAATTTAAGTACCAAAATATAGAGGAGTGGTGTATCTACCTTGTCTCAAACTTTCAGCTCAAAATATTGAGTCGTTTGGACGTGAATGTCAAAACTGCTTATCCGGACACGTAACCCTTTTAAGATTTGGGGACAATTTTTTCTTTGGGTGATCTGATAATCGATCCCCGTTCCTTTAGCGGTCTGTACAGTGAATGGCACATGTGCTGTACTTGATAACGAAAGGTAAATTCCACCTACACATTATTCTTATAAAATAAAAGTCTGGTTTTATCCAGACACCGTATAATACAGCTTGGGACACCAGTCTCCATTTCCAGATGGAGACTGACGGATTTAAGTTGTTTGAAAACATCACATATATTGAGTTAGTTGCTCGGCTCTAAGGTAGATGATTTTAAGACAAATTTATCTCCAAAATATTATCGGGATTGGCCCTTTAATAATAGAAATAAGATGAAACAGAATTAAAATTTACACTGAACAAAGTTGGATTATACATTGTTTTAATTTAGAAATTACATGAATAGAAGTTAGAAAATGCATGAATAGAAATTAGACGATAGCATGTTAGAATTTTGAATCTAATATACCGCCAAAAGAAACAGGCGACTGTGTAGGTTCATCTTCAATAGAAGGCTTGTTCTCGCTTTAACTACGTACATCTTATCAAGGCCTTCACGTAATACCCCGAATATTTCAGCACTGATTTCTATTGGGTACAAGCCCAGCTTGTGAGCCTATCAGATTCCTCGATCGTCGTGACTACCAAGTCTCGCGTTTTCAAGCTAAATGTCTACCTGTGATAATCGAGTGCTAAGTTCAAGGTTCGTTCAATGTCAAGATTTCCGTGGAGGTCGCGATGTCACAACCTCTGATTGGACGCTACTGCTCACGTGTCTGTAGATAACACAGCTATAAGTTCGAAAATTGTGAAGTAAACAAGCAATGTCTAGATGTTGTAAAACTCGCAGTCGTTGCTTCAGGAACATGGTGTAGATTGTGAGTTCGTAAATCCCTTTATACCAATCTGATTAAAATACAGATCTATATTTCGTTTCGTTTTTTATACTTTCGATTGCCTACACTACGTGACGATCTGACAAGTTATAGCGATAGGTCACGTCAGGGGTCAAAAGACCGACTTTTGACCTTATGACGTCAGGCATATGATTAACCAATCAGCACTGATGTTACTAATGGATTACCCACAGTTCCATGCAAAACACGCCTAAAGCTCGCGGTAACAGACGGTTTCATTTTCTCAAACCTGACACCATTCAGAACACGTGTTAAATAACAACTCTTCCAGATCCTAGTGTAGTAAAGACAAGTAAAACGAAATTTTGAACTATAAAAACGAAACGAAATAAGATCTGTGTTTTAACCAGATTGCTCTTATACAGTCTTTAATCTTTTACATGTTTTAACGGCTGGAACTATTTCTTAAGGCCAACTCAATATTTCGTTAAGGTTGCTGAGATGTAAATAAGGTTAGGGCACGTGATTGTTGACCTTATTGTTGGTTAGGTTTAAGAATTTTGTGGAGAGGTTAAGTCTCCTCATAAGCACTGACCTAGGATGATGTAAATTTGGCTCGTGATATTTCCTAGTTTTATTAAAGTTACATGCAATACATTAGATTTATATACAAAGTTGTTTTCGCTGTTTTTTGATGTTGGTGGCGCTGATGGTCTTCCTTGAGTGATGCTTGTGGTATTGTGGTATTTTTGTTTCTGAAAAAAATAAATAAATTTTGAGGCTCTCGGATGAGATCAACATTAGTGTGTTTCCTACTAAGAATTGGATTTTCTAAAAAAAATATGTTTGTTCCACTATCCCCGGGTTAGGGGTAGGGATTCTTATATCTAGTTGATTTTATTTACTAAGGGTTAGGTCTAGGGTTTGATATATTCTTTGGGTTAAGGTGAGGGCTGGTGTTATTTAGTCTAATTTACTGTGCACTAGGATGTCGTTCAGATTTTTATTTTTAGAATATGCAATTATAAGTTTCTGTGTGGAGATTTTCGGGTGACTTTCTTGGAGATAAGTATAGTGTTTTCTGATGATTTTGGATGCACTTGCCGCTGTTGCGCTAAATGGAACTACAAAAGGGGCTATTGTGCTAGCCGTATGAATATTCAAACCTAAGGGGGGGGGGGGGGTCAATTTGTCAATCCAGAATTTTTCTCGTTAGCCTAAACGTTTTAATTTTTTCTGTAGTTTCAAAGTCGCTCTCGTTCTTTTCTATTGGCGTGACAATGAGATCAGCAATGTCATGATTTGTTGACTGATATGAATTGAGACCGGTTTGTCTTTTTTGGTGAATTGTGTGCCAGATGTTTTGTTATGGAAATGGTCGGATATGTTTATGATTTTGCATGTTTGACATATTCGGTGGCCACAAGTTTTTTCTTTGGCGGCAAGTTCAGCTAGAGTGTTGGGTTTTTTTTTTACGTCGGAGATAGCGTTTGGAATATCCCCTTTCTCTTAGTTTGCTAAATACCAGCGTACATGCTGACTCAAAGTCAGCCTTCTGAGTACATATCCTATGGAAATGGAGAATCTGAGATTTTATGATGCCAGAGAACGTTTGTTTTGGGTGAGAGGAGCTTTAGAACAGTGATTGATGTGTATCGGTTTCTTTGAAAAAACTTTAGTTTCCAACTGGCTAGTGTTATTACTTATAAAAACTGTGGCGTCAAGAAAATCTATGCTGTTATGACTTACATTTGCGGTTAATTTGACAGATGGATGAGGATTGTTCAGAACGAAAAAAAAAACAAAAAAAAAAAACGTCCAGAATTCGTCTAGTGTATACGTCCAGATTATGAAAACGTCATCTGAGAACGTCCATAGAAATCCGGTTTTAATGGACAGAGTGGCAATACGTCCCTTTCCCATGAAGGGTTCTCATCGCAGTTCCGGAAGACTAGAGGTACTCTTGGTCATTCCTCAGACAGATGCGGAGTAAGTTGAGGATATCTTCGTCCGGTCTGGAATGCTTGCGGGTTCCTAAGAAATGCTTTCCTAACTGCTTCAATACCTATGTTATTATCGATGTTCGTATATATGTCCTGTACGTCGATAGATATTAAAATGGTGTGCTCAGAGAATCTTAACTGTTTGATATTGCGAATAAAATCGTTGGTGTCTTTAAGGCATACTAGGGGTATAAAGACATGGTTAATATAGTGTGATACGTTGTATGATTCGCCACCACTGTCAGATATTCATAGGCGTAGGAGTCGGGGGGGGGGGGCAGGGGGGTCATTTGCCCCCCA